GATGGTTGGATTATGATATAATTTCAATTGATCTATCTATAACTTTAAAGTTCATAGGAAAAGTAACTTAATGGTTCAAAACATAGAGTCTAGAAAGGATTTTAAATTAGTCGGAAGCTGCAGCGAAAGTAAGTTACTCTCACTGCGGTCACGGTCGCGATTCTGAAGTAATAATAGTCTTGTGTGAAGACTAGTGTAACTTTTATACATATATAACATGAATGTAACAGTATACAGTTCATACTATTTGCATTCTAACTTAAACACTACTGGTTATTTAGTGAAGGCTACAGTGCTCATGCTTATCTGTTAATGCTATAATTGTATGACTATAATTCCACAAAACTTTAGTTTGTATTGTAATTGAAATAAAATAAATTAAAATTTAAGGTAAATTAGTTGCTATTGTTTCTGGTGGATTGGATGAAATTTCATTATCAGAATTTTTGTACTGCCAGAAACAATCCAAAGTTTTAGGATATTTTCTAGTACCTATATTTCTATTCTAATTTATTGAAACAGATATATCTCATGTTATATATAAGTATTTATTTAATTGTGACAGCTTTAGAATTTATTGAATAATCAAAGGTCAAATTCAGAGGAAGGTCAAAACAGTATGAAATTTTATATATTCCGAACCACATGCATCTATTTAGTATAAGGCAGAATTGTATCTACTAAGAAAACTTCAGTATTTGAAGATACTTCGCAATTATTTGTTACTTTGTTTATATTTAGTTAGTTTATATTTCTTACATTTAGTTCCCAAATACACAACCAAAATAATTCTGTTCTGCATGTAAATACGAGTATATTCGTTCATCAAAACATTCAGTAGTAATTGTTTTATAAGTAAATTGTCATTATAGTATTGTAATTGTAATTCATACCAGTAAATACCTTTCCCTTTCTTACTTTGGTTTTAAGGAAGTAATTCCACTATAATGCTATGAAATTATTTTAAGTACTTGTAATTAATAATAAATTTTATACGAATATTATTAAATTTATGTCACGATTTAAATAAAATTTGCATGTATAAAGTCTTGAATATTCAAATTTATTGTCTCTTGCCTTGTCTTTATACTTTTTTTAAAATAAAATAAAGGTAACTTGAATAAATATTGGAAATCTCTTTATAGATATAAATAACTCTTAAATAAATAAATCAAAATAAATGTGACTCTAAAATTTGGTACGGAAGAAAGCTATTTTTGCCCTACTCACTTTATTCCGCATAAACTCGACGGTTTGATGAAAATATTGCAAATTGTTGAGCAAGTCGCTTAAAATTGTTCACATGACAATAATTTAGTTCAACACACTCACACATACACACACACACACACACACACACACACACACACACACACACACACACACACACTCACACTCACGCACACACATATATGTGTACATACAGACAAAATTTGTTCACTGAATACAACTTAACTTCAAAAAAATGAGTGTTCGCAGCTAATAAAATAAGTAAAAATACTAATATAATATATTATACATACTCATTTATATACTCTATTTTACAGCGACTATATTTATGATAAATAAATAAATAAATTAAAATTCACTTGATACAAATCTTATTAGAAGATATATAGTCTAATAGTAGTCTTGCACTTAAATAGACTTACAAAAATGATTCATTTTAATATAATATGGCCTTGAAAGTAATAGATCTTTCCCCAAACTTGCATAAAAAAACACATATATTATTCATATTTAAATATATATGCATATATCTCTTTTATTAGTTCTAAAACTGCAAATTTATAAATAAACTCATTACTCGTAATTAACATAAATTAATTATTTTTACCTTACAATATTTTTAGCTTTTAATAAATCAATTAATTGGATGTTGTATGGAAATGATTTTGTGGGTTAGATACAGAGAAATTGAAAACTAAAAAAAGATTATGGCTTATAAATAAAAAAAAAATCACAAGATACTTTCAGCACCATTAAGATATCCGTATATGGTATTCAGATAACGCCGTCCAAAAAATAAAGGTGGATAATATGTTGCGAAATTAAAATAAATACTTTTGTTATTTCACCATAACGTGGTCAACTTTTGATTACACTGACAAATGTTTAGGTATTACACGTTTTTCCTTATTTTTTTTAACTACATACTCCCAAAGTTTCGGTTATTTTACATCAACCATGATCACCGGCATTTCGCCTGCGTCGTCAAAACGTTGGGAGTAATTTGTTTAAAAGATTAAAAAACGCATAGTAACTCGAATATATTTGTCGTATTTAACGAAACTTAAACTAAATATAATTTATATACTAGATTTTTAGACCAGAATTTATATTACATCAATGATTAGAACGCAGTTTTCTACAAGTTATGACATTGGAATTCACAACATAAAATATTTCAAACATTTATAGTTAACTGCCTGTATTTTAACTCGACTATTTTAACTAATAATACCTTTTAGTTACAACTTAAATGTATATTGTTAACCATTTTAATGTATTTGTTGAGACCTTGACACTTTAATATCTTTGAAATAACCTGTTTCTGTTTATGGTGTCACTATTGAATATCCCATAGCTATAATGTAGCTAATTTAAAGATTTTTTATATGGAATATTATTGCTTAAAACGTGATAGTTTTTAATAGATAATTATGAATATAAACGACCTTGTTATGCTGTTATTTTCCTCAATCATTAGAAAATTATTTAAAAAGTTAGGAATAATTTTATATATTACTGGACTAAATAATTTTAAGTTATATTCATTTTTAACGAACCAAAGGAAACGTAAAAAATCTAAATATATTAAGTAATTTAATAACTTCAAAAATCTCAGTCTCATTTAAAAGAATAAGTTTTAAGTCTCAGTAATATAGAATTGATTCAAAAAATCAGTGTTTAAAAAAAAAATTGATTAAAAAGTGCTACTTTTAAGTATATTTGCCGATAGTAGTTGCCAAAAGAATCATTGCTACCAGATACGCTTTATAGAAATTAGAGTTTTTAGTTGTATTTCTTGCTATTATACTATTTGTCAACTATATGCTAATTAAAACACGAGACTGAATAAAACACTACCAGTTTGATTAAATAAACAGCGTCTGAAGGCAACGCAATTTTATACCTACATAGCTGAGAAATATATTTTTTAAGAATAAAGCACGTAAGGATGAAGTGAGATTGGGCGTAGTTTGTATGAAAAAGTTATATCAGTAATTAATTATTATATTAATTTACTAGAAGACCCGGCGAACTTCGTATCGCTCTATAATCAAGAAATATCTGTTACGTTTTTTTATTTATATTTTTGGAGTTTACCTTTAAACCATAAATCTCCGTGTTTTGAAGTGCGACAGAATGATTGACATATTAGTTAGTTGTCAAATCTAATGTCAAAAAAGTTTCTATGGGAAATAGAAAAGGGCTGTTTTTAGGGTTTTCCCCGAAATGAACCTCCACGAATATTTCAAGTCTAAGATAAGACAAATCCGTTCAGCCGTTCTCGAGTTTTAGTGGGACTAACGAACAGCAATTAATTTTTATCTCATACATGTATAGTCGCAATTTCCTTTCCATATTTTCCATTTCACCCATCAACACGAAATGAATCCAGGATCGCATCTGTTCCTCATGATAATATTAACTAAATAATAGAATAGTTGTAATAAAAAAACAAATTCCTTCTTCCTCGGAGCGTTGGTGAGGAAGAAAGGGTAAATATTTGATAGTGATGAGAATTTATCGATGTTTCAACCAAAAAAAATTATAAATATATATATTATATGTTACAAATAATAATAAATAAAATAAGATTTAATATAGAACGATTATAGTATAGGTGTGTAAAAAAATATATGTATATTATTAATCCCTACTAATATTATAAATGCGAAAGAAACTCTGTCTGTCTGTCTGTTACGCTTTCACGCCTAAACCACTGAACTGATTTTAATGAAATTTGGTGCAGACATAGAGTTGACCTTGAGAAAGAACATAGGATAGTTTATACCCCAGACTTTTGAAAGGTTCTCTTTGAAACGCGATATAAGCGAACTCCACGCGGGCGAAGCTGCGGGCGGAGAGCTAGTATGTTTAATAAAAATTGTGTTACATATACAAAGGTATCAAAATACCCTCAATTCTATACATTAAAGTAATATGCTAAAACCATACAAATAATGTTTTTTGAGTAAACTTAATCTTAACTTAATAATCTAGATTATAGAAAATAATATGATTGTTGATTAAAAGATGTATATTTTTCTTTATATAAGCATATATTTTTTGTTATTACTGACATATATGGCTAGTAAAAAGATATATTAGTGATATTTTTGTAACATATATATATAAGATGATTGTACACCCTGGTTTGTTGTGTAATTAAAAATTATATAGTTGAGTTAATTATCAAAAATAACTAAGTGTTAATATTTAAGACTCATGAATTTATGAGACGATTCTGAAATGAAAAACTTTGAAATATCATATATACATATATATACGCCTATGATATTTTTCCACCTATTCAAAAAAGGTACAACAAAAATTTACAGACGGCAAACACATTACACCTTCAAAACATCTGTTCATTTGATTAAAGTAGAGAAGCAAATTCTTGGCCAATTTCATTTAAATAAATATTAATATTATATATTAAGTAATATGTAGTATGTATATATGTATTATGGCTTCATTTAACCAACATTTTTTCTTAACAATTAATTGTCACGCGTAGATGTTGTATCCACAAAGGTCAGCCAGTAAATACATTTTTTATCCAAAGAATTTCCATATTCTTAGTAAATTCTTGTACAAGTTCTTCTCGTTCGTGTTAAAGAAATTTATATGAGTATCGTGTTATTTTTTTTGTACCTACATATATATATTAAAAATTCATAACCGGAACTGAATTCAAATATTGTATTGTGTAATGCTGAAAAGACGCTGCGAGGGTTAGGCCCTGTTTGTTTTTAGATAGAAGCGAGTTGGACGATCAGTTGGTCGATCAGTTGGACGATCAGTTGGTCGATCAGTTGGACGATCAGTTGGTCGATCAGTTGGTCGATCAGTTGGTCGATCAGTTGGTCGATCAGTTGGTCGACCAGTTGGTCGATCAGTTGGTAGATCAGTTGGACGATCAGTTGGTCGATCAGTTGGTCGATTAATTGGTCGATCAGTTGGTCGATCAGTTGGACGATCAGTTGGTCGACCAGTTGGACGATCAGTTGGTCGATCAGTTGGTAGATCAGTTGGACGATCAGTTGGTCGACCAGTTGGTCAACCAGTTGGACGATCAGTTGGTCGATCAGTTGGTCGATCAGTTGGTCGATCAGTTGGACGATCAGTTGGTCGACCAGTTGGACGATCAGTTGCCCAACCAGTTGGTCGATCAATTGGTCGATCAGTTGATCGATTGAATGAAAATCTTATAGTACTGCGATCTCTTTGAAAATCAATGAATTAATTTGCCGACTAGTAACCGAAACGTCGCGATCATCCCTACTAATTTTATAAGCAAAAGTAACTCTGTCTGTCTGTTACGCTTTCACGCCTAAACCACTGAACTGATTTTAATGAAATTTGATACAGAGATAGAGTTGACCTTGAGCAAGAACGTAGGAAATTTTTCATCCTAGACTTTTGAAAGGTTCTCTTGGAAACACGATGTAACCGAACTCCACGCGAGCGAAGCTGCGGGCGGAAAGCTAGTATAATATATAGAATTCTTACAAATATCAAATTGTGATCCATATGTCATTACGTATCATACGTCATTATATCATTATACGTCAATTACATAGCTGTCAATTGCGTTTTGTTACTCCAGGTCTGATTATGTTTTGTTTTATAGTGACTGAAGTTTCATGTCAAGTCCCACGGGAATGCTGTCGAACGGGATAAAAAGTATCCTATTGCAATTTCATGGCTCTTAACTACCTCCCTGCCAAGTTTCAGCTAAATCGGTTCAGCCGTTCTTGAGTTATAAGTGGAGTAACTAACACGACTTTCTTTTATATATATAGATATACGTTTTATATGAATTTATAAATTTAAAATAATTCAATTCTATATGATTCGTTGGTCAGTGGTGGCCTAGTAGTTAAAGGCCCGCCTCTCGTGTACGAGGGCGCGGGTTCGATCCTGGAAAGTATCAATGTTATTTTTCCGAGTCATAGGTACTCGTACTTTCTAAGAATATTAAGACACAACTGACAGACGGTGAAGGAAAACATCGCGAGTAAACCTGGACTTATAAGTCAATTATAAGTTTGAAATCACCAATCCGTCTTAAGCAAGCGTGGTGATAAATGCTCAAACCTTCTCCATGTGAGAAGAGACCTTTGCTGATAGGCTGATGACGTGACGATGACGATATGATTCGTAATTTGTGCATTTTTATATATTTCCGTATTGAAGTTCTTGGCCGAGAAAATATATGTATGCACTTAATTTCGTGTTTATTTGATTTTTGAATTAAAATCGATTGAATAGATGTAAAGTTTAAACGCTTTTATTACTTAACTGAGTCGATAAACTTGTTTTTATAATATTATTGATATTTGATTAAGTTTTTAAATACTGTCCTATAACTACGTGATATTAGCTCATGTTAAGCAAAACTGGTTGGTAAAATTTTTAAGTAAACTTATTAAACTTGTTACTATAAGGAGTTCTTATAAATTATATTTTAAATAACCTGACTATGTATTTCCTTTTTCTTTTAAAGTTGTTTGTTTTTTACTAATTCTCGTTCCAACATTTTCGTTCTCGTTCGTTTCACAAATATTGAGGCGGCGTTTTGGATCTATTTTAAATAAACACACAAATTCTTAATATTGATTCGTGATCATCATATTATTTTAAGTAAGTGTGTATTTCATATTATTGTTATTTAGCTGCAAGCGTACTATGTATAATATATCTGTCTCATTCTTTTATACTTAGTTTTTTCTGTTGAAAGAGACATTAAACTAGAAAACACAAGTTTACAATAGGACAGTACAAGTTTACATAGTATACATATTAAAATCGTATAAATAAAATGAATTATTAGATTAAAATATCAGGATGCTCTATATAAAATCTAAGCTAATATTAGTTGTTTTTACTTCTTAACTTTCTATTTTAATAACCAGTAGCTACCAAGTTCTTAATTATGTTTATCACAAGCTCATCTCGTCGTTAGAACCGGTTTTGATTTCATCTTTATAATTGCGAGGTTTAAGTAAAGTTAGCACTCGTTACTTAATTAGTCAGATGCCATGCTTTTGCTACTTATATCGCATTATGTCATATTTTTTTTTGTGGAAGTCGTATCCGGGACTGTTAAATGATCAGTATCCCGACGATTTGAATATTAAGCTATCATGTCCCTACTGTAATAGGTTGTTTAAAATGTATTAAGTTTAGTTATAGTCAGGTAAAATTTGTACGGACATGTCAGTTATTTGCTTAATAAATTGATACAAACACCTAGACAAATGAAAATGAAATAAAAGAAAACTATTTTCACTATATTTTGTTCTATTATTTAAGTTGTGTAAAAGATATGCTGGTTGAAAAATGTGCTAATAGTTAAAAGTTATTATAACTTTTACCTTTTTTTACTTTTTTTCTAGCAAATTTAATTTTTTTAATATTTCACTAATAAATGCCGTAGCACATAGAACTCGGTCATTTGGTTTTAACCATTTTTAATTATTTATGAAGCTTTGATCATGTTTAAGCAATAGGCATGTAATGAACGCAATATCTTGTAAGTTGATGATTGGATACTACATTTGATATGTTTATAACAACTTAATTTGGACATTATTTTAAAGATTATTTTTATGTAATTTCTTAAGGATAATATTAAAAATTAAAGAAGAAATACATAAAAAGTAGATTCAGTTGATTCTATTCATCTCAAACAAAATAGGTTCAGAATTAAAAAAGACTTGCAGCAAATTGAATATTACACTGTTACAACTTTCAATTGAATAGATTATAAAAAAACACAGTATGTACCACTTTTCTTTTATTGATTTTTGTTTTGGTTAAAAATATTTCGGAAAAAATATATAGGTACTGTCGATCTTCGGTACACCCGTATTAATTATTATCGTTATACTTTTTTATTTGACTGGATAGTTTTTGAATATCATTTAAACCCGTTGGACGGTGGAAATTATCAGCCTATTCGCCCTTTTAAAATGAAAATCAATGAAAATCTTTAAAACTGTATCCTGAAGTCACGTAAACTAAAAATTCTTAAAAAAAATGTTGATAGGTTTATACGCATGTCATATATATTTTTTATATCACTAAACATATTTGAATTTTAATCAACCTATAGGTTGAAAGGTCATTCATCATTTCGTTTAATTTTAAACTTTGTTGACAAACCTTTTTTTATACTTAATTGGCTGAATATTTTATAGAATTTTTATTAAAAAATAATATAAGAATTTTTCTTGCTTATAGGTAATGTGTCGAAAACAGTATTTCAGTATTAATTTTTTAAAATATATTCCTTTGCATAAATATTGATATAATTATAATCATAAAGTTTTGTTAGAGATTATTAATACTTTAAAGTGAGCGAATTTTTTGCTTCAATAAGTCTCTCCAAAAATGGCTATGTCTGTTCGCGACTATTTTGTAATCGAGGTTGGATAATTAATAATAAATCAAATAGCCACGAGAATGTGAGACCAGTTCACACTGAACAGGATTTTTAAGAACTTCCACACGTGACATGACATGTGCCCTTGAAAATATTTCACATTTCACGCTATCGCTATATGAATAACAAATAAAAATTATAATAAGATATACATAAAAAATTGATTAATAATTAACGTATATTTTATTAATGATTAACTTCTTGTAACAAGTTTTAAATTAAGTTTTTACACGCAATATCATGGTATTGCCAAAATATTTTAAGGCCAGCGATTTTAACTGATGCAGATGATATTAAATAAAGAATAATTGGTTCCGTAAGAGATCCGGGCAAGGTTGATAATTTTAATTTTTTTTAGGTCGCCTTAAAGTTTAAGGAAATCAAGTCGTAACGAAAGTTAAATACCTGATATAAAAGAGATTATAAATTTATTGAGTTTATTTTATAAAATTTGTTTTTAATTTTAAGTTTACGTCTCATATAAATAAAACTTTTAAAAGATCAGTCTTTCAAATATTATCGTTTCTAGAATTATAGTAATGAGCCTATACGATGTCAATTTTGAGGTTGCTGCTTCAAAACTATAATGCACACATTAAAAGCATCGTGGCCATCTCGACCTCAGTGTAACACTACTCAGATCCATTTAAATGTTCTCATGATTAAACAAATGTTATATTGTAACTTGACAATATAACTGTGAAAAGAAGTCATTATCTTTGTGTTGGTATAATAAAATGTCCTTAAGAAGTATTACCAACTTAAGCATTCAATGCAAAGTTAAAGACATTGACAAATTGGAATTTGTAAAGCATCTATTGTATGATGTTTTAATTTCAATGCATAAATGCATGACGGATAATTTGTGTTTTATTTTAAATAATTTTACGAGTATTTTTTATAATCTCTTCTTGTTCATTGTACCACACAACATAAACGTTTTAATGATTTTAATAACTGGAGTTAGTTTGTAGGAAGCTAGATCTATCGCGTGTAAGTAAAAGTTTTCCGGAATAAAAAGTGTTGTGCATTACTATCATTATAACAACATAGGAGATGATGTTAGTTTTTACTATGTTACGTGTCAATAGAGGATTATTATCGGATTCGAAAGATTACGACTATACAATTAACACATATGTTTTTTGTTAAATAAAAATTTACCTGAATATTTACTTCTTATAAAAGTAAGGTAACAAGAAAGAATTAGATATAAAAGGGCAAACGAAAAAGAATTTGTATACTTTTATAGTTTGATGGAAAAACTTTATAGACTGGTCTAAATAAAATTTAGTTGGAAAGTAATATTTATTGTGTTCGATGAAGATCTTTTTTTATTAAATATGTTAAGACTGGTTTTCGTAATTTAAACATTTTATTTCAATAAAAGTTACCAAACAAATAAACATACAATCTGATGGTTATAGAATAACTTAGTTATTTAGCTGGATAAATAACTAGGTCCAACTAAACTGAAAGATTATGTAAATTTAACAAGGAACACATTTGGAAGGCACATTTCAATAATAGAATTTCAGCTTATAGCGCTATTTCCGCTGATTTGCTGTGAAAAGACTATACAACCCAAGTCGAGAGAATCTGTCGTAAATGAAAAACAATCAAATGACAGAATAACTTGACATAAAAAAAATGAATATGGATTATTTTGATTTTATTAGCATTTTTACTTACCCCATGTATTGAAGCAAACTTGCATATGGAGTATAAAAGAGCATAAAATGTCTTTAAAATTGTAAATACCTAAGGATTGTTGAATCTAGGCAATGATGAAGTCAAACATTGCGTTATTACAATCTGCATGCATGTTTTTATACCTCCATCACTATCTGCGATTATTTCAACAGACTGTCGTTTGTGCGTGTAACTATTCGTGTCAGTAACATTGCAAAGATGTTTTTCATTACCTTATACTATAAGAAAAATATAAATATGATAAAAATATTTTGGACAAAGTTAAATTTTGTATGACGAAAAAAATGTATTTTTTGAGAATTTATTTATTTCTAAGTTCTATTTAATATTTATCAGTCCTTAAAACATTTTTGTTTTTTAATTATTTTATGTCAAAGCTAATGTTGAGGAATGTAAAACTAAAACTTCATTTATATATATATCTGGTACATGTATGTTAATCAAGTTTGTGAGTCGGTTATTTTAATACAATTGATTTTCAAATCTCAGAAAGTCGCTTCAAACAAATATATTTTAAAAAAAACACAAGAGTGACGAAGTTTTTGCTTGTTTAATGACATCGTTAACAGACGTAAGCATTGGAGACAAAGCTCTGTTTTTCCTAATATATTTGGCAAATAAATTTACAAATATGCGTAACCCATACACCTATTGATGAATAGAATTGTTGTGAAATAATAATGTAATGCCGTGGGAAATCTAAGGCATGAATATTGCAATACACGGTACCTATTTTATTTGATATGGCCGCCCGTTTGTTATCCGGAGACAACAGCCGATTTCCAGCACGTTCCGAACATTTCACAGATATTGATTTTGTGACAGAAATTCAACAGCATCTGTCAGATGTTTAATCATAGGAGACAATAGAATTATTTCGCTATTTCCTAATATCCATTCAATCATATTATACTGATCGTAAAATTGTTAACTAAATTAATTTCTTGTTCTAAAACAGTTTATTGTTATTGTATACTTTTTTGAAAGGTAGAAACATCAGTCTTTCTTTTTTTGATGATGATTTTTCTGTCTTTTCTTTTCAGGTGATCAATATGACTATAATTTTCTTTTTATTCAGCTTTAAACATAAATCTTGTTATTTCCAAAAGGCGTTTTTATATTATGTGGACTCTTTTTTCGTTGGTTTATAATATATATTTATAATGGAATCTTTTGTTTACAGGGGTATTCAAGATGGTTATTATGTTTGCCCATCTTTTTAACATCTGTGTGTGGCAGCGATATACTCATGATAACAATGGGAGGTACAAAATCTCATAAAATACCCTTTTTGGAACTAGCCAGAGGTTTGCTTAGAAGGTACGTACTGTTATTACAATCCTAAGATAGTTTTAAAGAAAAAGTAAGCAAAAACTAGAGCCATTTACATTGAAGGCTTCTTTGATGTCTTAATGTTATTTTAAAAAATACTGTAAAAAATTGGACTGTTTTAAGATAAACTTTAAACCCCTTTTTCAAATTATAAATGCCATAACTTTTTATTGAAATAACTTTATGAAATTTTAAAGAAAACTTTACAAGAAACGATTGATACTTAATATCAATAAGGGTATTGTAATTGTCATTATGTTTTATAAATTACTTGCAGAAACTTTTTTATTTAATATCGAACGTTATAACAGCAATTAAATGTTTTCTTTACATATTTCCAGGAATCACAATATTACTTTACTAAGTCCTTTCACACCTGATTTTCATATCGATGGTCTGGAGGAGATCACTCCGGAAGGCTTAATGTCCTTTGTAAGAGGATATATGACCTTTGACCTGGTGGGAGCAAGGATGAGAGGTGAAGAACCATTGCCATATATGGATATTATAAGATATGGTTATGAGGTATGAACCAGAATTAAGATGTTTATTTTTTTATTTATTAAAATTTAAAAAGGTTATTTGTTTAGAAGAACAATTTTTCTTATGATTATGTGTGTTTGTATGATCTTACATAAAAATCTGTGTAAGCTAATTATGTGTTACGATAAAGTAAAACCAGTTAAACGCTAGTAAAGTAAATAGTAAATAAGTCTTATGTTCTTTCCAGGCATGTGAAGCATTCCTAAGCGACGTCGAGACAAAATCCTTTTTGAGATCAGGAAGGAGCTACGATCTTGTTATTCTAGACGGGGCATATCCCGAATGCGCTTTAGGCCTTGTTTATCGAATGAAAGTACCTTTCATGTATATTAATACGGTTGGATTTTACGCAGGACCAACGAGTATTTCGGGTAGTCCGGCACCATACTCTGTAACTCCGATATTTGCCAAAGCTTTCACAGATAATATGGGATTCATAGATAGAGCACTCAATTCCATGTGGAATATTGGAGCCATGTTAGGGCACATCGCAAGTGTTACAATTCTGCAAGGAGTTTTGAAGAGACATTTTGGCTCAAAGATCCCTCATGTGTATGATATGGGCAAGAATGTCAGTTTTATTCTCCAAAATGGACACTATTCGGTTTCGTACCCTCGACCGTTTTTGCCAAATGTTGCTGAAGTAGCTTGTATTCACTGCAAGGAACCCAAGGTTTTAAGTTCGGTAAGTAATTTTTTTTTGTGAAATATAATAGCTATCAAACTCTCAATTTTGTACATTTAATCTCCAAGGGTCAGTAGTTTAGTCCCAAGCTAGAAAACAGACATAAAACTTTATGTATACTATTATATTAATATTTAATTTCATGTGTTGCGTACAAAATTACGTAAAATTTTGGCAAATAAGTAACTTATTTTAAATTATATAACTTTTTTCAACAGCTGAGATAAAAACAGCATTTTAGAGAGGTTTATTATATGTAAACAAATTTTAGAAGGATATTTTTTACAATAAATAGTCTAATTTAATATTATCATTTAAATAAAATTGATTAAAAAGAAAATCTTATTAAAATAGAGATAAATAAAAATCAAATTATTTAAACGATTCATTTCAAGGATGAGACGAAACTTCTTAGCATTCAATGGATTGATCGCGTTGTTAGAAGAAGAGCTGTAACAATGCCTGGGACTTGCGACCCAGGTGTAGGTAAGGGGCCCCTATCTTACGCGGCTTAAATACTCACCTCCACCGTCCAAGCCTCTATCTATCTCTATCTATCTCTCTCTCTCTATCACCGTCCTCTCTCTATCTAACCAAATTTGTTATTTTCAGGATTTAGAAGAGTGGATAGCTGGTGCTGGCGAAGCTGGTTTTGTGTACGTGTCCATGGGATCATCAGTTCGGACGAATAAGATGCCTTTATCAGCTCACCGTTTGTTCGTGAAGGCGTTGGGAAGACTACCGCAGCGAGTCCTTTGGAAACAGGATGGAGAACAAAATATGACGGACATACCTACCAACACCAGAATATACAACTGGCTACCACAGCAAGATTTATTAGGTAAGAATTTTTTATATAGAGCAAATAAATACGGTCATATTTGTTTCTAGCATATTTCAACATCATTTTTGGTAAATATTTCCTAGAAAACATTAAATTTATAGTAATCTTCTAAGAAATTTAAAGTTTTAATCGAAGCAATACATTAAGTTAGAGTTGTATTAGAATACAAGTAAAATAATCTTTAACGGTAGACAATATTAATATGGTATCAGGTTTATGTACTTTTGTAAGATATTTACGTAATACATACTTCCTATAAAAAAACGGTCAGCGGCATGACAAATAATAAATCACAAAGAGAAAACGTTGCTATGAAACCACAAGTGTCATATGATTTGACAACAGACGAGATTATCGTCAACACCTCATTCTATGTTACGTCTCATGTTATGCAAAACCCATATATATTATGTTTCCGTAGTAATTTGAATAATTCTATACGTCACGTTGGTATGGAAAGTAATTTAATTTCGAGACGCTGGTACATTATTCGTCTCCTATCTTGAGGTTATTTGATTATAGTTGTCCTTGATATTTGAAACAAACACTTTATAATGTATTAATAAATATTTTTCCAGGTCATCCGAAAATAAAGGCATTTGTGACTCACGGCGGTCTTCTCAGTATGTTCGAGACGGTCTACCACGGAGTCCCCATCATCAGTATACCAGTCTTCTGTGACCACGATGCAAACGCAGCTAAAGCTGAACTTGATGGGTTTGCGAAAAAGTTAGATCTTCAGCACCTGACCTCAGATAAACTATACAAAGCTATCAAAGAAGTGATCAATGATCCAAAATATAAGAAGCAAGTCAAAATTAGACAAACACTCCTGAGAGATCAAAAGGAATCACCCTTGGAAAGGGCTATTTATTGGACGGAGTACGTAATAAGACACAAAGGAGCTTATCACTTACAATCTCCAGCTAAAGACCTAAATTTCATTCAATATTACATGTATGATATAGCTGCAGTTTTTATTCTGTCAATAATATCAATTTTTGCTCTTATATCCATCGTATTAAGGTTCGGTTTTAAATGTGTAGTCGAATATTTACATAACAAGAGAATGGATAAGTTGATCAACAAGTCCAGCGACTTGTTAAAGAGATCCTCGCAATTAATAGGTGAAGCCACAATGAAGAAGAAACGATTATAAACTCCAAATACTTGTTATTTTAGTTACCACAAGAGTTACCATAGGAGATTTGTTAAGATATATTTAAATGTGATTACAAAATATTAGTGGGTATTAAGATTGTAAATATTTAATTAGATTTAATAAATATTAAACGGATATTTTATATTCTTTCACCTTTAGTTTTTTCAATTCAAACTAGAACACTTTGTATCTAGGTTTAAATACAACGTGGGGCTGAGAGAAAACTTCCTCAGTCAAAGTATATATATAAAGTATTAAGATCTGATTATCACAAAAGCAAAATAGAGAAAAAAAAAATTACTAAGTCGACTTCGTGAAGTTAAACATAATATTAAATATTTCACTTCCGACTCTAAACTCTTTCTCCTTTAAAATTCTTTCGTTTGTATTGTTAAACTTAATTTATATTTTTCTTTTACATTATTAATTTTAATGAATGTTTAAATTTGATAACAATCCTCTGAAATATAATTTCCTACCGATATTCAAACTTCAATCTGAATTCGGTCTAAGTACATTAGTTTTTACAAAGTTCAGTGTGTTATTTTATATTGATTTTATTGCCTATAGGAAATCAGCTTTTTTTTTGAGTACTTATTCTTTCAGTTTTCTAAAATTTCCTCTATTAAAGGACGAATAATTGAAAATGAATTTGTATTTTTTATAAAGACATAAAATTTTCTTAGATAATTACGGAAGATAGTTTTTAACGGTAGTTTCAATATTTTTATAAGGTAAGCTTAAATAAAATATGTGCTAAGAATTTATTTATTATAACTAATAAATGTGAAAATACAACACATAAATTAAAGTGTCCAAAGATATTAATTGAATTTCAGCTTTACAGTTTGAATAGAGATAATTTGTCCTTATAAATAATATTATTTCATTAATTAAAGTTATACATATAATATTTGATTCATAATCAAAAGTATTGTGCAAACTACAAAGTGATTTTACAGCTACAAAGAGTATCTTGTGTAGTATTATTATCAAATAAATCATGGTAATATTTGCATTGTAGTGCAATATAAATATTTATTTATTTATATTTCAATTTTGGCCGGCTCTAAAATTGAATTATCTTTTTGTTCCACTTCTGGGTTAACTTTCGTTGCTGCTACAGGATCCGAGACAGCGAAACGCATTATGTTGTCTGAAAAATAAATTTAACAAATTTATAATAGTCAGAGAGTATACTGATAGCTTTAATGATAGTTTACTTTATGTTAATTATGCCTTTGCCTTATGTTAATATTACCGCTGCAAAGAGTTAAATGAGAGATAGTAGTTTTAATTATCTTCAGAATGAAGAGATAATATACATACAGAGAGAAAATTTCTTCAATCTCTTTTATTGCAATCCATTTGAATGTTTTAATATATATATTTGTTCAATATTTTTGGGCTCATTTTTATTATCATAAAAATTTCGTATGTCTTTTGATTATGTGGTTAGTTTTACCAGAATTTTGCGTAAGTTTTTGTTGTGTTTAAGCTTAAGCAAAACAAACTATTTCTTTTCCTTTTCTTATACTCAACGTAGTCTGATAAACCCACCACATTTAAAGTACCTTTGAAGTGGAATACCAGACAAGCCAGTAGCCCCAACAGTCCCGAGGACACTAGAAGCCAGCGCACCACTCCTACAATCCTCTTCGGCAGAAAAAGCTGATGCTTCAGCATATTTACGAAGGTCTTATTGAGGGCAATTCCCTGATTTATAAATTAATCATTCTTATTATATCTCTTAATAAAACTAAGATATAAACTAAAAAAATACACAATTCATATGAAGTAAAATAAAGAATTCAATACTTTTATTCATTGTATTATTTACCTTACTAATAATGTAGGGCAAAATGAATTATATTGTACGTAGCCGTATTATTATCGTTTTGTTATTAATTGTTGTTAATTAACTAATTGAGGCTTTTATTTACAATTATCCATTTATGTAGTTATTAACCTGTCAATACTAGACTTGACGAGTTATTGACTCATCATGCAAAATTTACCCTTATACTTATCTGATGCAGGTGATTTAGTTCACAGGCTTATTAATTACTCAAAACAATTATATAAAAATGTGGTAAGCCTAAAAGATGCATCAATCAATTATAAAGTTGTTTATGTTTAATATTTCTATTATTGAAAAAGTTTCAGATTTTTGAACTGATGTTTTTTATATGATTAAGGGTTGCAAATTTAAATTTACTGCAAAATAGAATTTTATACATCAGAAGAAAGATAAGAAAGTGGTCCTCAATGAGTGTTTGATAAACATTACCTCTTCTATCCAGAATAAAGGTGAGATAACATCTGGCAGATTTTTGCAAAGTTCAATTTTATCAGTCTTAAGAAGCTGCATACTAAGTTGTACTCTTTGCTTAGCAACCATTGGTGTACCGGTTATCTGAAATATATGTTTTTTTTAATAAACTTATTTTACTTTGTTTATATTTTTAGCTAAAAGCATGTTTTTCTAGTCAAAGGCTTGTCTGAGCAAGCATGTTTTTCTAGTCAAAGCATGTTTTTCTAGTGAAATGTTTGCCTTAGCTGTATATTATGATAAAAGCTAAACAACTAAAAAAATTTTAAGTGGGTATTTAAAATTATGTGAATATATGTTAATAAACTTTCGTATTTATGATTGTTCCGAAATAGGGGCTTAATGGCTCATAATTTTGTTACTTACTGGCTCAAAATCTATGACTATTTCATGTTCATTAACATCTGGACTTAGACCTTTGACGTTGTTTATAATATCTTGTTCACAGCCGTAAAAGTGAGGTAATGAAGCATACATTGACACTCCCATGCACTTAGCCATATTCATTAGACCTTTAGGTGGGCAACTGCTAGGTTCGTCACAGTAACACTGTAGTTCAGGATCGTTCGCTAAGTCACCAATGTTGGCAATATATCGATTCGTCTTTATTCCATTGTAGGATGTTTTCTTTTGGTACCAGGGCTTAAAAGTTCTGGGAAATATTGAGTTTTATTCTTAATGTCTATTATGTTTTTCATATGAAAAATTTTGTCGTAATTTACCTGCATAATTCAGTAGAGAAGGATTCCAGTCTATCGAATTCTGTTAAAAATGGAGGGAAAACAGTACCATCTGTGCCGATGAGTTCATTGCACTGATCTTTCCAAATATCCTGTTCTGTTTTTCCGTCCAGAGCTACAACTTTGCCCACATCCATAACGTTCTTCACTCCTCGTTTTACTGTTATAACTTGTGAATCTACGGTGCCATTGCGCTGTAAGGAAATTAAAAGTGTTTTTATTTTTATATAAAATTTTATTAGAAAATAAAAAAATTTATGTGAATTCGATCAAGTTATTTAATATCTTAGGTTTTTAAGATGTCAAAACGTATTTTTTAAACATTTTGCTTGCTCTGCTATAAAGTTTTTTTTCTGTGATAAATTTTATACCTCTCTATTACTTCAAAAGTCTCTATTACTTTAGGAAAAATATTACATGTTTAACCAGAATAATTTTATCTTTGTAATAATTTGTCTTCAAACTGTATGACCATCTCATAGCGTTCAGAAGTGGAATTTAGATTTCATATTTTATGCATTATTTATACAAACCTTTCCAAATAGGGAGAAGCGGTACTGGTTATTTGGTTCATATATTAATTTATCCGCACCTTCCTTCTTCAAAGCTGTGCACACAGCTTTCGGTGCAAATTCATTTTGATTGCAATTTATAACAGTTCCTCTGAAGAGCAGATCCATCACATTGATGGGAGAGAAGATGGTGGTTGGATTATCGTAAATGCCGTTTATTGCTTTGCCTATCATATTGAGCATTGCCGGTTTCTCAACATAAACTTTTGAAATAATTCCCTGAAAATACAAATAGTCAAAGATACAAAAAATGTAAATAAGTATTAGAATGTTACGAAAGTGAGAAAAAATTATCTTTTTATTTTTTATGTTATAGTTTATCTGGGCTACTGATAATAAGTAAATAATTTTATGACAAAAGAATTAAAAAAACTTTGGTTTTGATTACTAGACATATTTAAAACATATCAAATTTTATAAAAATCATACTAGCCATCTTAGAACACTATGGAAACTTAATTTTTTCAGTCAAATACTGTTTTGTAATGCTTTGTCATTGGTTCTTAAAGAGATTTTGGAGTCAAACATTATACAAATGTTAAGACCGACTATATTCCTTAATAAATGTAAATGTATACGCTGTTATTGATACTTTATGGTTTATTTCTAAACATTTTGTCATACCATCATAAAGACGTTAGGTAGAACGATGACCTCTTCACCTGTCAGGCCAGGTCCTGACAGCTTTTTGTTGAAGATAAATGTATCCAGTCTCTTGTAATCTATAGTATCTGTGTCATCGTGTTCTACAACTTCAACTTTTTCCTTCCATTCCCTAAAAGATTTAGTGTATCATATACAGTTACGAAACAAAAACAATTCTGAGTATTAGTATAAAAAATGACTATATTGAATAGAATTATATTTCTATATAAAAAATAATATGATTAATAAAGCAGTGGCGAGGAGAATGACGTCATTATTTTTATATTAAACGGCTATAATAAAATTACAGACTGAAAGCCCTGTACTTAGGCTAAAGAAATGGGCGTGAAGTCTTCATAATAAAGGTGTCGGGGTTCTTATAAGGCAGCGGTAATTACCACTTTGCAGGACCGTGACATGTCTCGATTTATGTAATTGAAACATGTTATTTTAGTTTTTAACCTAGAAATGTTTTGCTGTTTTGCTGCGAAATACGACACTTTTAAATTATCAGTAATGCACTGAATAAATAAGTTATTTACCCTTGACTTAGATTTTATTGGTAGGTCTTGAAGTTTACTACTATCGTTTCAAAATTGGTGACGTTGAATCATACTTTTGAAAATGAGTTATCTGATAAGAAATATACCAGTACAATTTGCTCAGATGATTTTAGTATGGGTAGAGATATTTTGGTTATTAGAAACATATTCATACAATAATTATATATGCGGAGAGTCTCGTGTATTAGAATAATTATACAATATAATGAGATCTAAGATAGCCTTATAAATGGTTCTTTTATTTTCGATGTATCATAAACTTGGAATAAGTGTCGATTTTAATTCAAGATGCGTAAATAAAAAGTAGTATATGTATAGACATAGATTATGTAAAAAAGTTTAAAATACTCACTCAAAATGATAAGGACCAATTTCCTTAACAATTGGTAAAGCGCCCTTATGTATTTCGTCTGGATTGGTGTAATTGAAGAGGTACACTTTGAAGTCCAACGCGAAAGGTATTTTCTCCCACATTTTTCTCACATCTGTTTTCTTTGATAAAGCCATTTCCTAAAAATAGTGTTCGTGATTGAACTCTGTTAACCTCAACTTATATTTAGTTGGTAGCTTTTATTTTTATTTTCTAATAGATTAGAAGTATAAATCTACAACATGTATCTTAAAACATAATATATCTACAGCTTTTTAAATTGTATTGCATAATAACCGTCTTCAGTTTTAAGCCATAATTCAATGAAGTATTTATATGTACCATCGCTGATATTTTTAACAAAGTTTTAAGCCGACTACTTAAACTATTGAAAACTAAAATTCCTACCATCTTTATATGTAGAAATTATATGATATCCTAATGGTCCAGTTGTATAAAAATGGCAACTCTTGAACAACAACTTTTGAAGATCACAAAGATTTTACCAGAACAAAATTAACAAATTATAGTAAATTTAAATCACATGACATTACGATTGAAAGAAGGTATTGTAAAAAATAAAATAATTTCATCCAAACATATGAATTATGAAGGTAAATCTAAAATACTTTGATAATTTTCGGAATGTCAACAGTTTAGCAAAAACATTAATAATTATCAATTTTATTAATTCTAATTAATAAAATGAATAATAGTTTTTAGTTGTAATTCTATCTTAAAGGAAGCTAATAAACTATTTAATCTATCATATTCAAATCAACTAGTTTAATATACAATATTCCTGAGACATTTCAGCTCTCGTGTCAAAATGCCCGTAACCTTCTAAAATTTCCTTTGTAGTTATGTTGATGATTTGTTGATTTCCTCTTAAATAAATAACAGAGGAGTGACAACTTTGATTTAAGTGAAGTAATTAATTATTATCATTAGTATTATTAAATTTTTATAAAAGAATTTTATATAATATTTTACCGTCGTTATTAATTCTTATTAGTTATATAAAAAGTAGTGAAATATTGACGTAATTGTCATTTTTTGATATATTTTAACGAGATAAAATTTCTCCTTTTGAACCATGAATACTACATAAACTTTTACATGGATATGTTCGTTTTTTTTGTAATCAATAAAAATTTCAAATATCTCATATCATTTTACAAAAAAAAAAAAATACAAAAATAATGATGAAAAAGAATAAATTTAAGACAACAAAGTGAAGGTGATACTTTTTGGTCCAAATAGTTTATACTCGTATGTATTCAATTCAGACTTTGCAAAAGATCTTACCTTTTTAAGTTGGCTTTTTAAAATGGTCGGAAAAATCACCCATCCAAAGAGGACTCCAAATATAGCGGCTCCTGAACAGCCCGCCGCAACCTTCAAGTGCTTTGGTAACTGCATTTTACCTAAAATTATAGCAATACATTTAACTTCTTTAAATCGACACCTAGCATTTAAGTTTATTCACAATTTCACGACATTTTTTTAAGCATATAGGTATATCTTACTGAAACCTGATTTAACATATATACTCATATAACCTCTATAAAATATTAATCATTCTATTCTATAATCCCAAGTTTATTCGCAATTCTGCTATTTTAAATCATTATAATGACCTTCGCAGTAATTGGAAAGAGTAATAATATAATTGGCTGGTAGAAGGGCAGCTTGCAGGCTGTTGGTTCTCATAGTACTGCCTTTTTCAAGTCTATCTTTTTTTCACGAAGCTATTTTAGTTTTCATGATCATAAATTGGTTATCTCGAATTCTAAGTTCTAGAAGACAACGACAGTACAAAATATATGTACAGTACATTTTCAGAGAAGTATATTTGCCTAATACAGTCTTATAAAATTAAGTGGCGTTTCTTTAGATATTCTATAAGATTTAAAATATCAAGTGACGCAATCTCCTTTTGAAATAATCTGTTCCCGAAATTGTCTACTAAATTGAAATATGCACAAAGTAATTTAGTAGCTTTTAAGAGTTAATACTGTTATACTTAGAAATATTTTTGTCAACGTAATATGCCGTTCCCAGAATAGAACGGAGGATATGTCCTTTTCTGAAAAATATATCGACTTTCTATTCAAGTATTCTCACAATGCAATGTTTAGATTTACTTATATAGTAAAAGTTAATATTTAAAATATGTATGTATGTATGGTTTAGATATTTGTGGTTCTTTTACGATGAAATTACTAGATGTTTTTTTATGGAACTATACAGTAATGTGTCTTAGATATAAGAAAAGGATATAGGCTATTATTTACTCCAATATTAAGCGAAGTTACGGAAGGACCAAAACTTAACCGTTGTATTGTAAATGAAGTCAGGTAACACACTATAACTGTGCATTTCGCTGACGTGGCAAAGTTCTGGGCAAGAACTAGTTTAATTTAATTTAATATTGTTTCACTTTATTGCAATCACATATAAAAATAAAACTCAAAGAAAAAAACTATTTTCTTTTGTTACACAACTGTAGGTTACTATTAAGTAAAAATATATGTTTTATATCTCAAAACGACTTTAATATTGATCTAAATCTTTTGTTTTTTTAATCTCTTTGTATTGGATTCAGAGGTATAAGAACCGACGCTTATATTGTTAGTAGGAACTTTTGGCTTATACAATTTTAATTTTCCAAAGAATATTTGTTATATTTAACACTTCAAATAATAACTCTCGGAGAACAGTCTCATGTAAAGAGAGAGATAATTCTATTTATTATGGGATATATGGAAAAAGCACCATGATTGTAACCTTACTATAAAGTGCATTAACGTTTATGGGTCCAGGTCTGTTTGAAGATTTGCATATTATGTTGAATAATTATTAATCGTAATTTTCCTTGTCGTTGAAGGCGATAAATCTTACATAGAGAAAGTGAATGATCTATTGGTTTATTGTTATTTTTAAGTGGCCAATAGACTTAGTAAACTACAAAGGAAAGTTAACATTGTTTTATTAGAAAAAATAATAGCAAAATGGTGGCACCAAATTAAACTGAATTTTTCTTTTAAGCGAACCCAAAAAGCTCTCAAAAAATATTTACGAGTCAATACTTACTACTATATTACAATTGTAACACTTTCTTTTAGATATAGCCATGGCTTTATTGGCAGGATTATCTAAAATAAGGTGTCGCTAGTTCGAGAAGTAAGACGTTATATTGCGATAAATATGGTCTAAATATGACATTTTTCTGGTATATATATGTAGTTACTGAGTATTAAGATGTTTAAACTTGATATTCGAGGATTATTTAATAATATTAAACAAAGAGTGATATAAAATAAAGAGGAAATATAAAAAAATTGTTAAGTGGCCTTTTTTTGGCGTAGTGGTTAAAAGGCCCGCCTTTCATGCACGAGGGCGCGGGTTCGATCCTGGCCCTGGCAAGTACCAATGTGACTTTTCCGAGTCATATGTACTTTCTAAGAGTATTTAGACATCACTGATTAATGCATTCCCAAAATAGGGTTGATGTCAGGCAAGCGGCCGGTCGTAAAAACAAATAGCCGAAACTATTCACAACATGTAAGGCAGACCCTGGCTAAAGCTGGGAAATTGCCAGGTAGAAGAAGATAAAAATTGTGCTAAGAACGGATGACAAGTGATCGATAGTTTTTAAAATTAAAAATTACTATGTAGTGTCTTGCAGTTTTCCTTTATCTAGCAGACTGTGCTAAAAAATCTCTCGATTTTAATATCAATATTTAAATATTACAAATTTATTAAATTATATACGAAGGTTCTAAGAAATCAATACTCGCAATGTGCAATTTCTATTTTTCTGTCTGTGATTATTAAGGCCAAAATAACTTTAATAAATTAATTAGAAACTTTTAACAAGAATTATAATTGTATAATTAAATTAATATAATTTATATATCAACTCAATTATTCAAATCAATTATTGATTAGTAGAAAGTATTTCAATACATACGTGGTGTGTGTTCAGAGACAGCTGTGTTAAAGACAATGCAATGCTTTCTAGCGCTGTGAATTGTACGCTGATATGGAAAATCATTTGTGTTTAAATATTTTATATATCATACATTTTATCGATATTATCTTTTATATATCTTTTTTTATTCTTCTTTAAATATACGATTTCTATAATTAAGTTTACAATTATAAAATAAAAAGCATAAACTGTATGTTGTTACATGATTGGTGTAAAATCTTTTCTTTATCTTTATATATATATAATTCTTCTGTGAGTGTATATGTCACTGAACTTCTCTCAAACGACTGGACCGATTATGATGAAATTTTTTGTGTGTGTTCAAGGGGATCTGGGAATGGTTTAGATTCACAATTTTGTCCGTCGCACAATGATTTTTTTATTAATTTTTAATTTATTAGTAGTTATTGATACAAACGTTTCTTTTTTGACATTAGATTTGATTTAAATTGCTGAATGAATTTATGCTCATTTCAGGTCTCTTTTAAAAGTTTTCATATTGAGAACTATTTGTATAGAAAGAAAACAATTGAATAAAGTTATTAGGTAGGTATGTCTTGACTGTACGTCTCCGCCCTACAAAGGGATCTTTAGACATACGTCATAAAAAACTGATGTTTATGATTATATAGGGTAGCGCATTTTAAGGATTTCTTTTAAAACATTGTATGTTTGAAGTTAAATTGCAGAGTAAAGAAATATCCAATGAATTATTCGGATATGTTGTGTTTGAGCTTTAAAGAAACCAGGATTGAAGCAATCTGGAAGACTTAAACAATATTAAAACAAATATGTAGAAAGATGCATTTCAGTTTAAGTGTCCATAAACATGATCTATATATTCTTCATAAATTAATATTTTTTAAATTATGAGTAAAAGAAATCATAATTAACTATTAGTTGCTAAGCTATAGAAAGCTAACAAAATATTGTTATACATAGAATATATATTTTTAATGTATTTATTGGGCTAAGGTCTAATTTTACAGCCAGCTTCTTATTTTGAACTCATTTGATCAAAAGATTTGTGAAAGACTATGAATATGCTTCATATTCAAGTCTCATAACAAAATTTTCATAATAAAATGTGACTTAAATATTTCCTAGTACTGGAATAAAATGAGAATACTATTTTTATATTATCAAGGAACCCTAAACGTATATTTATTTTTCAAAGAAAAGGTAAAATATTTTATTTATTAGGTGAAAATGTGGTGTGGAGGCGGTATTTTAAATAATTACATGTGTTTTAAAGTAAGTAGTTTGAATACTTTCAGTTTAAACGACACGCCTTCATGCTTTGTTTGATACAAATAACTTTATGAAGTTCTATAGGTCTATAATTTTTAAAGAATATGTTTTAGAAAAATATTTTTTAAAAATAATTATTTGTTCTAATGAAACTTGTGTCATCCTACTTATATACTACACTAGTTTTTGCCCGCGACTTCGTCCGTGTTAATTTCAGAGTTATTTATGTATGTATCTATAACTGACCGGGGGAACTCTATTGCGCCGTAATGGCCATAGATAACCAGGTACTGGAATTTATTAAGTTTTTGGTCTTTTTTGATCGAACAGAATTCAATATCGTATATCCGTGTCCTAGTTCTTAGTTATCTGGACACCAATTTTCAACCACATCCCTATAGCTGTTCTTGAGTTATAAATAGTGTAAGTAACACACGTCTTTTATGTATACAGATTTAAAAAATCTGTATATGTCAGTTACTCTGTCAATCAAACCAAACGGATTGAATTTTAATGAAACTTCATATAACTGTAGCTCATACATCAGAAGTCAGAGGTTGTGACACACTTCTGAATTCCGTAAAGTTCCGACTGGAATAATTCACAACAGTTTTATTCTATACGATATCTCTCAACCCCAAGGTAGGTATTGCAGCCAGTTGGGGAAATAAATTATTATTTTATTTCTTTCTCTCTGTAACAAATTTCAAAGTAAACGATTAAAAATCTGGTTTAAAGTCTAGTTTATAAAATTTTTACCTAATTAAAATATTTTCTAATAATATTGCAAAAAATATGATTATTTATTTATTTTAATACTTAGGTCATGCTATAACTAGCATATTATGCCGTTTAATATTTAATAATATGTATACATAGAAGCTCTTAATTAATTAATTATTATTGGATAACTAAGATATAAATATTTTATAAAGAATATTTTGCGTCTATGTATTTATATTAAAATATATATATATAGAATTTTTAGGGTGTTTTATAGATGTGCTTGCATAAATTGGAGGTTTTTTGAACTTTTCTCCAATTATTAAATTTAATAATAAAAACATGATTTTTTGGAAAAATATTAATATGATTATATTTTTTTAGCAATAAAGATTACGGTGGATTTTTATAGTTAATTTTCCCTATTATGGTAGAAATTCATTATTTTCTTTTGTCTGCTAATATTATGTTCTTTAAATTATTTGTTGAGTCTTTTATTTATAGTGAATATACATGAGGTATTTTGTTCATTATTTTCCCAACAGGGATTTTATTGTTATGATAACATATGATTTAATTTATTACTTTTTAAATAAAATTATATTTTTTAACACAATCGCGTTCAATATAAGCATACTAAAAGAGTGTCTAGACTGAACGCTGTTACTGAGTACGTAATAGGTTTTACAATTTAGGTATACAGTCTCTATGCTAGGTTTTTAAAGATAGCGTAAAATTAATTAAGATAGAAAACAACTCATAAAACAGTAAAATTTAATTGTATAACAGGCTTAACGATTAAAAAGTTATATATTTTAAGAAACTATACATAATTCTTGTTGTAAATAAAAACAAAAAAAAGACATGATTTAAAATTAAGTTCATAAAAGAGTTGAAAAAGTATTTTAAGACTTTACGAGTACCATTTTCTTTATTATTAATAGACATATATTACTTTATATAACACAAATTACTTTAATTTGAAATGTTCCAACTTATGTTCCATCGCCATGAATATATTCTCCGAAGTACACGGATATTCTGGAAAATAAAGATGATAAAAAATAATGTTTTATGAGTTTACTACTACTTATAAATGCGAATTTTGTTTAAGTGTATAGAGATAGTATGCATTCAATCAGTCATGCCTGGGAAGCTTTCGAAATGTTTGAATAATACCTATATGAATCCATTTATCTTCATATCCTGCATCCCGGCGTGCTTGAGATACTGCTTCCCGAAATGCAAGTGTTATTACTGATGCTAAACATAACGACGGCTCTCCTGTGGCTGTAAAAATAAACATTATTAAGCAAAATTACTTCAAATGTATAAAATTTTGTGCTATTTATAAGAATACTAGGGTAATAATATTAAAATTTAAAAATTATAAATTAGGCGACGATCAAAATATAATATTTAATCTATCTAAGAGCCATTTGTAGATATGTAATTCAACGTTGTTACTATAAAAGAATTCCAAAAAATTTTGTTACAGTTTTGTGACAAACGTACTTTGAATTTATTACTATAAGTAGAAATCCTCATTGTGTCGTAATAAATTCAAAATGTAATTTAATATTTTTAGTCCACAGGAATGTATGGCCTTATTAACATTAATATAAAATAATCTCATTACTGTGCATAAAGATACGTGTACCTTTAGATTGTAAAACTCCGAATTTATTGCTACTATTTCTTCGGAAGTATACCCTAAAATCGGCTGGTATATCTTTTATGCCCGGAGGTTTATATGTCCAGGTACGATCTGTCAATAATCTTCCAGTTTCACGATCGTATACTAATTTCTCTGACGTCCAGTAACCTAGACCCATAACAAATGCCCCTTCAATCTGTAATTAATAAAAATATTATATCATAAAAATACTCCAAAGACAATAAGTGTAAATTTTAATAATATAGTAATGAAGTTCTGAATAATTTGGTTGGCATGTGTGGAAAGGTAACGGTTGACTAAATGCTAGAAAAAATTTACCTGACCAATATCTATTTCAGGATTCAAACTTCTACCTGTATCTTCCAATAAATCTACCCTTCTTATGTCATGATTTCCGGTCAGAATGTCTAGTTCAATCTCCATAGCGATGATGCCATAAATATCATAGGGCTTAACAGGCTCAAAAGTTGAATACATGTGTGATGCTTGTAAATAAACTCCAGATTCATGTGCCTCTCTGATGAGGTCTTCCCAAGCAGGATTACCCATTTTTTCTCGTATAGGTTTCAATCTATCTAACAAAATTTCACATGCTTTTGTGGTAGCATATGCCACTAGTTCACTTCCAACACTAGCACCAGTGCCCATGCAATTCGGTGATGTGAAACTTGTGCTGGGTTTTATACTTACCCTTTCTAATGGTATGCCAAACATATAAGCACAAACTTGAGCCGTTTTGGTGTTAATGCCTTGCCCCATTTCAGTAGCTCCATGAGTTATAACGACGGAACCGTCCCCATGATAAATAGAAACGATTGCATTAAACGGGCCTATGTAAAACATCTCGTAAGTCATGGGCATTATTTTGAGTGATCTCTTTCTCCAACGGTTTTTTTCATTAAATTGTTTTATTTCTGCTAGTCTGTCGTCAAAATTTGAATCCTTTTTCAATTGCTCTATCAATTCAGGAATAGGGTTGTCACCCTGTTTTTTATTTAAAAACCTTACTTCCAGTGGATCTTTCTTTAAAGTGTAAGCTATCTTTTCCATGATGTATTCAATAATTGCGATACCTTCAGTGGATGCTTTAAAGAAATGAAATGAAATATATTAGAACAAAATAAGTAACTGAATATAAAGGCATGATGTTGAAATCGTTACAAGTAATAGTTATTGATATATATCTACATATATATTATTGAAACTTTAATTCTTTTTGCAATTCAGTGTCTCTTCGTTACTTTATTATATTTGTGACAATATTTGTCATAAACTTTATATGATTTTAAACAAAATTTTATTTTATCTTACACTAAATTTGTCTTAAATTATCATATTAAAAAACTGGATATAAGAGGGAGTAAACATAATAATTTTATGTTCTAATATACATAAAGAATAAACGACTGATGCTTATAATATGATATACTAAAACGTATTTTTTTTGTGGGCGCTTTTGCCACAGATATCTTTGCGAACTGCCGCATCATATTCGTTTAACTTTTTAGACATTCGTATATTAAATTTTTTAGTCAAAAACAACTTACCCGGCGCCCTGCACCATGTAGTTGAAGGTGTATCTGTTATCACTGTATATGCTTCAATACTCCATCGTTTGGTATCATAGCAATTAGGGAAGTGGTTTAAAGTCATAAGAGCAATTGTTTCGTTTATTGAACATCCATTATCCTGATAATATTTTATTTTTAGGAATTGGATTTCACCATTTTCATTTACGCCAACCTTATGAAAATAATTTTAAAAATTAACACAAATTTATTTTAATTTTCATTAACCTCAAACCTTCAATAAAATAAAGCGACCAGAAACCAATTAAAGAACAGTGTACTTACTGCTATAAAGTATATGTAAATATATATGTATATATATACACATATGTATATATATACATATATATTTGTTAACACACATGTGTGTAAATACGTTAAAGTAAATATAAATAGTATATAACGATAAAAAAATACATGCTCTAGATATAAGGGTTCATTATTTTGGTTTTTGAAATAGATATGGACTGAGATGAATGAATAGAAAAGTGTATTGAATTCTAAAGGCGAGCGGCTTAAACAGAAAAGGAGTTAGCGAAAAATTATATTAATTACCTCGAATTTACAATAAGTTGGAACCCGTTTACCTACGGTTCTCATGTTTGTTTGCAGAGGTAGAACAAATCTGCATAGTTTTCCTTGTAAATGCGAAACTAGCGCTGCCCCACAGGCTACTTGTGATGATCTTGTTATTTTACCACCATAACCACCTCCCACTCTTCTAACTATCACATTTATGCTTTAGAAGAAAAAATAAAGGGTTTTTATCAATGAGACGATTATGGTTTAAAGTTATTAAAGATATTAAACTACAATTTTTTAGCAAATTTTCACATGTTCTTTTGCAAATGCTTACCTATTAACAGGCATATTTAAGCACTGGGCAACAGCAACGTTCGTTAAGTCAAGATATTGAGTTGAAGAATAAATTTCAAATCCATCTTCTGTTGGTCGGGCAACACATGTCTGAGGTTCCATATAATAATGGTATTGTGATTCTAGAATAATTTCCCCGTTAATAATATTTTTCACGTCACTTCCAGTATCAGTGGGTTCTATATCTTTGATCTTGTTGATTCTTTGATGCTCATTAGATGCTAGAACATCTGATATTGATAGTAATGGTTGTGCGTCACTTGTTTTATATTTAATGTCAACAAGCTTAGCAGCGTTATTTGCTGTTTTCTCTCTATCAGCAACTATGATGCCCACTGCCTGTCCATGATATTGAACTTCTTTTGAGCATAATATTTCTTCTTCGGTACTTATAAATGAGACATTGGTGGGAGTGAAATTATTTTCTCCTGGGATATCACTTGCAGAGTAAAAAGCCAATACTCCTGGAATTTTCTGAAAACATAGTAACGATGTTCATGAGAAGCAATTATTATAAAGAAACTAATATTTTCGGATTTTTATTTTTGACTATAGTCAATAGATTATATACCCCTGACGTTTCGGATACTTTACAGCAACCTTGATCACGGGCAGACGAGATGTAAGTGTCTGTCAATCGGTCTTGTTATTTTATCACCTACCGCCATCGATTTCTTAATTGTTATAATGGTTGACATTTGTTAGTAAAAAAATTCACTGACCAATTATCTTTAACAAGTATTACAACTAAAAAAAGGTTTATTAGATGTTTATGAACAGAATACAATAGGGAGGATCATCTTTTTTTTCAAGAAGTTATAAAAAACTTACAAATGCATTAGTTGTATCGAATCCCGTGATAATACTGCCAGGTTTTATGTCAGCTGTAACAAAAGCGGCATACACTTCATTCGTTTGCGTCGGAAAATCATTTGCGAAGGTGGCTTCACCGCTACATTGTACCAGTGCTTCCAATTTCGCTACTGGTTTATTTAATGGCCACACGCTCTCATCTGTATCGTATGTTTGTGTGCCAGTTGATGAATGCCGTTTGATGACGTCACCACCGGAACGATAGGTTTCATTTAGTTTTCCCTCAGGGCACAAACTTAATATAGCCTATAATGTATGCTCTTTTAATAATATAAAGTAGTTCAAATTTCGCATATAATTGTACTAAGTAGTTAAAAAATCGTTTTAATTTGTCTCAAATCAATTAATGATAATAGTTTTTATTAATAATAAAATAAATTGAGAATAAATAGGACGATTAATTACTTTATAAAACAGTGCTACTGCTAATAGTTTTCTGTATTCAGGCGAAGGTTCGGGAGGTCTTGAGTCAGGATGAATCTCTTCATATAAGTTCTTCAAAGCCAATTGCAGTGTGTCGTCGGTAAATGGATCCTTATCAATTAAAACTTTCTCCGTATTCTCCGCGTGGATAAATTGAGGGGTTATGTTTCCATACAAAATGTTTACTTTATCGATTAAATCATTTTCCTTGAACTTTATTAAAAACCCAGCGTTCACAATGGCGTGTGCGTTTTGTGAGCGAGGCATAATCTTAAAATAATATGTTTGTTTGACTAATCTTTTACAACTTTTTTATTACATGTAATATTTTTAACCATTAAGAATTTTATGCAAAGTAATGTAAGATGTGATCTACGTATTTAAACGTTACGTTAAAATTTACCTTGTATGTTTTCACATGGCAAGCACTTGATAACGGTGGTAATAATACATTTAAAATAATTGAATCTTTCATATCCATTTTTAGAAATTCTGTTAAAGTTACTGTTTTCTTTTTATTTACTGATTCCGCTGTCAAAAATAATACACATTATAATGAATTTTTTTTGTGGGATATAAAATATTTTTAGATAATATAAAAGAAGGGTATATGATAAAACATTGAATAGTTCTTCTAACTTTCTTGACTAATAAGATGTACTTTTTCACAGCATTAGGTTATATATTTTTATCTCTATACCAGGGCGTGACGAATATAATAATATTTTATAAATGATATAAAATTACATATTTACAAAATGCAATTTATAATTTAATATAAGTATAATAAGTATATACATATAAATTATCAAATAACATACCAATGGTTATCATTGCTCCGACCGTTTCAAAAAGAAGAAAAATATCAGATGGGAATTCGTTGTTTGCGTACTTCAAATACAAATTACCTCCAATAGTGCCAATCTATGTACATATAAACAAAAGATAAATTATTAATGTTCATATTTTAATAGATATTTTTTATGTCAATGTTGGTAATAGTATCCTTTACTGAAATAAAAGGGTGCCTTATTTTGTTTAAAAAAAAATGTATTTTTAAATTGTACACTGCAACTCTTGTGGGAACGAAGAAATTGTTGTGTTACGAGTAGCATTAAATATATATTTATAATGTATATAAAATATTGTTTTGTTAAACGAGTCAAGTTAATTAAGAAGAAATTTTTAATGGCTTACTTACATTTCGCACAGGAATATGTGCTACTAAATCCATGTGTTGATAGAATTCTTTCAAATAGGCAAAGTCTTTATTTTCTGAAGAAAATTTTAAAAACACTTCCATCATATCCGTTAAAACCATTCCAGATCCAAGAATTAAATTAACATCCAAAGAATATCCTTTTATTTCTGTGACATTGAATATATCGATTATGTTTTTAGGATATTCCGAAACATGGTACACTCCTGAAATTATTAACATACAATTTTATGTCTTTAAGAATCTTTACGTTCCTCAAGCTATAAAGAAGCGTCATATCTAATTACTGTTTCTGATATGATCTCACCTTGTCCAGTGTTTCCGGCAATCAATTTGTAATCATGATGATCAGACATAGCCTTAAAGGCTTCAGCTAACGTATTAACTTTGAACCATTTGTGTTTATCGCTTTTAATGGTAAGCGTTTTTATGGTAGTTCTGTCGATGAGACACCAGTCATCGTCATTTGTATTTTTTGTACCATCACTTTTGTGTACACAGTTTTTGCTACATTTGAAGCCACAACATGTAAATGTAGCCATATCTTCAATATCAATAATCTTTTTCTTTAACCTCTCCTCAGCGTCAGTAGCGAAACTCTTAAAAGCATCAGCTATTGGTCTATAGCCTGTGCATCGGCAAATGTTACTTGCAAATGAATTTTCAACTTCAGCTGTACTTAATTTTTTGTTTTTAGATAGGTATAAACTGAAATCAATTGGTTGGCATAAGATATTATTTATGATAGACTTTCATTTGTTATATTTAGGAAGTTTTTTTAAACTTTAATCAACCACCAGTTCATTAGATTACGTTGCTTATATGAATCCTAAAAATAATATTTTAAATACCTGTACATGTTCATAACCCAACCCGGGGTGCAGTAACCGCACTGAGTTCCATTGAAACTTGCCAATCGACTTTGTATTTCATGATACCCTTCATTTCTATTTCCCAATCCTTCAACTGTTGTTACCTCCCATCCGTGACATGACAGTACCGAAACGAGACACTAAAATAAAATTTTTGTTTAATTCCATTTACAACTAAAAAATCCCATAAACACTAGTATATAAAAAAATGTAATAAAATTCATATTATTCCATTTGGAAGACGTATAAAACAAGAGATAGTAATTAGAAAAAGAATTAAGAGTTTTATATTTTAACACTACTTTTATAATTTTTAAAATTCTTTAACAAATAATTACTCTATTTTATATGTAGATGTTTTTTAATGCAAATTTTGAAAATAATTATAGCTTTTTCTTAATATAATGAGGATGAAACTTACAGAATTCACTGAAAAGATTTTAACTTCATGTGTTGGAGGTAAGGCAGCCTTGACTGCTACTATACAAGCCCCACATCCACCTTCTTGGCACATCACCTTAGTTCCACGGAGATCAGCTACAGTTCTTATGTATTCATTAAGAGATACATCCGGACCAAATCTTCCATCCACTTGAATCACAAGTATAATAATATTTATAAATACAATATGAAAAAAATATTGAAACTTTGTAAGAAATTTTTTATTTACCTTCGTGTTGGATCCCGTTGATTTTAAAAATTATTGTAGCCATATTTACTACCTTACTTTTTTTTATCACAGCATTATTTTATTTAAAAAGTAATTTATATTTTTCTGTCTCTTTGCATACAATCGTTCGCTCCACACAATTTTAACACTACTTTAATGTGTGCTCAATTTCGTGAAGTGTTTATAACGTCAACGCCTATAATTTGCTGGTGGATGTTTTAATGCAATAATGAATCAGCATTCATTGGTTTTATATTTTCTATAGTTTTTTAATTAGTATAGTATTATATAAAATGATAATAAATAGAAGGTTGAATGAGAATAGAAAAAACAAAATATACATATATATTTTTATTGCCATAAATATAATATAATTCTTATATTAAAAAACCATTTGTAGTATTATTATATCTTTATATAATCCCTACTTATATTATAAATGCCAAAGTAACTCTGTCCGTCTGTCTGTCTGTTACGCTTTCACGCCTAAACCACTGAACTGATTTTAATGAAATGGTACAGAGATAGAGTTGACCTTGAGAAAGAACATAGGATAGTTTTTATCCCAGACTTGAAAGGTTCTCTTGGAAACGCGATATAACAGAACTCCACGCGGGCGAAGCTGAGGGTGGAAAGCTAGTAATATTATTAAATTAATTATAATTAAGCTTCAAAGAACTATATAGTCAGTTTAGCATAGAACATTTTCACAATATCATGACATGTAAATATATGTGTTTAAGCCAATCATCTTGTTCGGTAGTGCGTTAATTTAATAAGTAGTTAACAAATATTTGTTGTAAAAGCTTTTCAATTATATCATACGGTTTGTTAGAGCCTTGTAACGATAATAAACTACAAATACGTAATTATATATTAAATGTATATGAAATCTATATATTAAATAATATACACGTGTTTTTATAATTAATTTATATTTATTTATTAATAAGATTATAATTTAATTATGAATAAGATGGTTGTCATTTGTAAAATAAATGTTGAGAGAAGTTCTTGCCAAGAAAATGAACGTCATCACTCTATTAAACATTATATATACCTGCATTAAACACCTTTAGATATAACACAAAGTAGTGTTATTTATTCTACTTATAATTTAAGAACGGTTCTACGACTGTAAATTGGTGGAGAGATAGCTTAGAACAACAGTAAGGACATTAAATACTTTTCATCCGATTGAAAAGACAAAAATATGATCAAATTCAAAATCTTTTTAACCACTATCCTTGAGAAGGAATAGAGTTCGACTGGTCAGCTATACGAGTACATTTCTAATTCTGAAACTACTTCACACGAAGTCGCGGGCAAAAACTAGTTTCTGGTAAATACAGGTTGTTATTTAAGAACAAAATGTTCTATTTTATGTTCTAATGCCATGAAAATTTTTTCCACAGTACAGGGTTGATCTGAAATTTAAATTAGCAATGCTTATTCAAATTTATTACAAAATTTATAAAAGTAACTATTTTGATAAGTTAGACCAACCTATGTCTAGCCACTCGTCAGGATAACCGGAGTCGTGTCTACCTGACTGTAGTGCTTCACGGATTGCATGAAGTAAAACTGTGGCCAAACAAAATGCTGGTTCACCAGTAGCTGAAAGATTAAAAGTTTTGATTTACATCATTACCGATGAAAGAGATTTGGCTAAATTCAGATTACAAACTTAATTATAGTCAGTTTCTATTTGTATTAAATAATATTTTTACGACTTTATAAAGATATCTTTTTTATATCTTTCGAGAACAATTAAAAATAATAGAATATACGAAAATTATATGATACATATGTGGCATGACTTTTTTTTAATATTTAAAGAAATTAATATTAAACACTGGTAGTGTTAACAGTTTTGCTAGGTTCATTTAAAAAAATACTAAACGAATTAAAAATATTGTAAATAATAGTTAACTCGGGAGTACTTTTACTTGTGTGATATAGAATAATAACTTTATTTAAAAGGTAAAATTAGAAAATTTATTATATTAATTATATAATTAATTAAATACTTAAATTCGGTTGAAGAATATTTGATTTTGATGCTATGCACATTATATATACAATTTTATGTACTTATTTAAGATACACGACTTAATATTAAAAGATTCATTTTCGTTTATATCTAGTTTTTTAAATAAAAAATATTGATTTATGAAGTTATAAGGCCGTTAAGGTGTAAGAATTATTTCTTATGTATTTCTGCACGGTGTGATAGAAATAAAACACAATATTACCTTTAGATTGAAGGACACCAAACTCATTTCCTGCATTCCTTCGAAAGTATATTCTCAGGTCAGCTGGTACATCTTTAAATCCCGGAGGTTTATATGTCCAAGTTGTGTCCGTTAGCAATTTACCCGTAACTTCGTCGTAAACAAGGTCTTCTGATGTCCAATATCCCAAACCCATAGCAAAAGCACCTTCTATCTAAGGTTTTATGCAAAAATGAATTACTTATCACATAAATAATAAATGGAAAAATAATACTTTGGTCTGTTTTTCCAAAGAACATGGTGATAAGAATAACATTTACAGGAAGTTGGTATAAAAAATTATAAAATGCCCTGACAGTTTTATTTACTTTAGGAGTCTTATTCATACTTTTTAAAAACAATTGTACTTTGCTATAACTCGATATCATAACGTACTCGCAGAATATTGCAGATTTACATAATATTTTGTTAATCAAAATATACCTGTGTAATATCAATAATAGGACTCAAACTTCTTCCTGTATCCTCCAGTAAATCGACTCTCTTTACATCATGATTTCCCGTCAACAAATCAATTTCTAGTTCCAAAGCACATACAGCATACACGTTGTAAGGCTGCAAATCATCTTTCCCTGAATACATATAAGATGCTTGTAGATCTATTCCTTTTGCATATGCTGTGGAAATAAGTTCCTCCCAGGATAAAGTCTCAGTTTCTTTTATTGGTGCTAATCTTTCGAGAATTATTTCACACGCTTTCATAGTAGCAAAAGCAACACATTCACTTCCTATGCTCGCTCCGGTTACCATGGCATTTGGAGAAATGAAGCTGGAACTAGGTTGTATTTCTATTTTTGACAAAGGTGCTCCCAAAACATAAGCACATACTTGTGCCACTTTCGTATTTAATCCCTGTCCCATTTCTATACCACCATGGTGAATGACCACTGACCCGTCAGCGTGGTAAATAGAAATCACGGAATTAAAGTTTCCGAAATAAAATATTTCGAATGTCATAGGCATTATTTTTAGAGATTTTTTCGTCCAACGATTTTGTTCATTGTAAATTTTAATATTATTTAGGCGAGAATCATATTCAGAATCATTTTTCAGTTGAATTATCATTTCTGGTAGGGGATTCTTTTCTAGTAGCATATTTTGAAGACGGACTTCTATCGGATCTTTCCCTATAGAGTACGCAATGAATTCCATGATATTTTCTACCATTGCAATTGATTCTGTAGATGCTACAAATAAAAAAAAAATATATGTCATTTATAACGTGCGCTCTTTAATCTAATAAACTTTAATTTTAAAGTAAATAGTAATAAAGGGTAAATCATTATCTTTTTATATATATTTACGTACATGGGGACCTGCAATATGTGTTAGATGCATTATCAGTGATTACACTATTAGCGTCAATTTGCCACCTTCTCGTATCATAGGAGCTTGTAATATGCATTACAGTAGTAGCAGAAATGTTTTCATTAAATGAATGTCCATTGTCGTGGTAAAATTCTTTCTTAAGATATTGTATTTTACCATCATCATTAATTCCGACCTGTTAAAACACATTTTTTATTTCTATGATTTTCATATTAGGATAACAGTCAGTAACTTACTTCAAACTTGTTTTGCACAGGAAGACGTTTTCCAAGAGATTTCATATTTGTCATTAAAGGTAGGATAAATCTACAAGATTTTCCCTGTAAGAATGATACTAAAGCTGTCGCGCAAGCTATTTGGGAGGATCGAGATATTTTTCCTCCGTAACCACCACCAACTCGACGCACTATAACATTTACTCTGAAATTAAAAAAGTACTTTATAATCAGAAAGTTTGAACTGATACTTGCAAGTACAATATCATTATGATTCCTGTGAAAAGTATATTAATAAGTGTAAAGTACTATGCTTACTTATTAAGAGGTATTTTTAGACATTGTGCTATAGCAGTACTAGTTAAATCGAGCCATTGAGTAGAAGAATAAACTTCCAGAGAATCATCGACTGGTTTCACTACGCAAGTTTGAGGTTCCATAAAAAAGTGACATTGACTTTTCAACTTGAATTCTCCTTTAAGCACATGTTTAACGTCGTTACCGATGTCTGTCGGTGCTATTGATATATTATTCATTGTTCTTTCTTTCACTTCAACAGAATCAAACACATCATCTGCTGTGAGTAAAGGTTTCTGAGTGCTTACATGCGAGTACATTATTTTAACCAAATTTGCTGCTTTTATAGCTGTTTTTTCTCGACTAGCAACTATAATAGCTGCTGGTTGACCGTAGAACATGACTTTTCCAGAGCAAAGAATTTCTTCTTTTGCGGTCATTATCGGAATATTAGATGGAGTAAATGTGTTATCTCCTGGAATATCTTTGGCAGTATAAATACTTAGTACTCCTGGAAGTTTCTGAAATAAAAAATAAACTCTACAAATAGAAGATTTGACTGGCCAAAGCTGTCGATAAAAAAAACTTACAAAAGCTTCAGTGACATCGAAACCACTAACAATACTTCCAACATTTGCGTCTGCTGTAACAAATGCAGCGAAAATTTCTTCAGATTCTATAGTTATATCATTGGAATAAATAGCTTCTCCGCTACATTGGGCTATTGCTTCTATTTTATTCACCGGTTGGTTAAGAGGCCAAACGTTTTTATCTGTTTCAAAACTTTGAGTTCCATGTGAAATACTTCTTTTCAATATTTCGCCTCCGGATCTGTATATAGGATTTATCATATCATCTGGGCACAAATACAATATTGCCTAAAAATGTCAATGTTCCAAAATTAATAAGATTACATAAGAACATGGTATTAGATGATATATCCAATGCCTATAATTATATTACCTTATAGAAAAGTGATACAGCCAACATTTTCCTAAAGTCTACCGATGGGTCTGGAGGATTATGTACAGGTTTTATTTCATCCAGCAAAGTTCCTAAAGCCAATTGCAATGTTTCGTTAGTAAATGGGTCTCTGCCTGTTAAAATGCCTTCAGTAATTTCAGCGTGTATAAAAGTGTTCGATATTCCTCCATACACTATAATGGCACTTTCTAATAGTCTTGAGTTAGGGTAAGATTTTAAGAGAAATCCAGCATTTACTATAGCATGCGCATTTTGTGCTCGTGGCATTATCTGTAAGTTTAACTTTTTATTTTTATATTAACGAAATCAAAATTAATTCATTAAAAAAATTATTATTATTATGATCGAAGGAAAAGGATCTATAAAAATTATATATAATTACTAAGAGATGCTACTGGTATGACATTTTCTTAATAAAATAGGCATAAGCTTAATAATTGTAAATAAAAATGCTTATTATTGTAAACAGAGATTTTAGTGTGTAACGTGATGTGTTAAGATAATTATAATAATTTAACCTTGAATGTTTTTACGGAGCACCACTTAGAAAGAGGGGGAAGTATTATGTTTAAAATAATCTTCTTATTCATGTCGGTTGTCAAAAATTCCGGAAGAGATATCACTTGTGTTTTCTCTTTACTTTCAGCTGCAACGATAACAAGGCTTGACATTAAAAATTAAATATTAACAACAATGAAAAATATTATATTAAGTATTAAATTTATTATAAATTGTTAGTGAGAGCTAAAAACTTACCTATTGTTAGCATCCCACCAACCGTTTCAAATAATAAAAATAAATCTGAAGGAAAACTATTGTCGTAATGTTTAAGCATTAAATTCCCACCAATGGTACCGATCTGGAAATAGTAATAATTAATTTCTAACTATATTAATATGTGATTTAAAATGATATTCTTGGTTACTTTTCTATCTTACATTGCGAACTGGTATATGGGCTATTAAATCCATGTGTTCATGGACTTCTTTTAAATAAGAAAAATCTTCGTTATCAACTGATAATTTATGAATTATTTCCATCATTTTTGTTAATGTTAAACCCGAACCCAGTATAAGGTTGACATCAATAGTATAATCTTTTAGTTCAGACACGCTAAATATGTCTATAATGTTCGGTGGATAATCAGTAATTTTAAAAACTCCTGGAATATAGAAACCATTTCATAAATATGTCTTTATATAATTTATGATTAAATACAATAAATATTACTTGCCTTGTCCTGAATTTCCAGCAATTAACTTATATTCATTGACCATCTTCATAACTTTGAATACATCGTTTAAGGTAAAAACCTTATACCATGTATACGCTCCACAATCGATAATAAGCATATCTGTCTGTGTCTTTATTCCTTCAAATTTACACGACTCTTTTTCTCCTATATCACCAGATTTATAATAAATTTCGTTTTTGTTCGTTCTCTCTATAATTTTGCATTTCTTATGAATACAATTTTTTGGGCATTTAGCAGCGCCTAAATCTTCAATATCTTCAACTTGTTTTAAGAGTTCATGGTTAGCATCGGTTGCAAAAGATTTAAAAGCATCAGCTATCGAACGGTATCCTGTACATCGACAAATGTTGCCTCCAAACGAATTTTCTATTTCAGAAGATGTTAATTTTCCATTTTTATTCTTGTAAATGCTGTAATAACAATTATATTTTAATATAACGAGTACCGTTAGCTTTGAGTATAATATATATATTTTTAAAGGCATTATCAACAATTATATTTCAAAGAGAATAAGCATAGTTACAATCTATCAATATTGTATTTGTTTTATGTAATATTATCAATACTATTTCATTTCGAGTATTTTAGGGATTCATAAATTAATATACTTATATTATAATCTCCCATAGCTACCTGTACATGTTCATGACCATTCCAGGTGAGCAATATCCACATTGAGTTCCGCTGAATTTTGTCAACCGCTGTTGAATTTCATGATACCCTTTGTTTTTATTTCCGATACCTTCTATGGTAGTTATTTCCCATCCATGACAAGATAGAATTGATACCAAACACTACAAAAATATTATATGTTAAATTTAATATATTATTGGTAATAATTAATTAATGTTATATAATATAAACTAACAGAATTGACAGCAAAAGTTTTGATTTCTTGTGCTGGAGGTAATGCTACTTGAACAGAAACAATACAGACGCCACAGCCGCCTTCATTACACATATACTTAGTCCCTTTCAGGTTTGCTACATTTCTTATGTATTCATTAAGAGTCACGTCAGGGCCAAATTTACCATCAACTGAAAAAAAATGTTTTTTGAATAAATTCTTCATCTACAAGGTGATCAAGAATCGCATGCTGATCAAAGAAATTAGTTTGAGGTGCAATATATCTACAAATTAGAGAGCAAAGCCAATTAACTTGGAGATGGAGGATGCATACCGTAGTATGAATCTACTTCAGTGTCTCAGCCATGCAAGTAATACTCACGATTAAACCACATATGTATATTGCTATTAGAAATTACGCTTCCTAGAGAAGTTAATCTGCCTGAAAGTGATAATTACCCACCTTTATGAATGTCTCCATTTATTTTAAAAATTATCTCATTCATATTGTTATTATTTTATTACTTTTAAATCATTAATTTTTTATCGTCTAATCAACAGGAGTAGGCTACCGATTGTGAAAAATGTAGCAGTTTGTTACTCGCTTTAAATGGAAATTATATGCAATTTTAATTGAATTGCAGTTCCCACTTAATAGACGAGGCTTAAATACAGAGCAAGGTTCAATTTTTATATGGCTCTTGTTTTACACTTTAATTTCAGTTAGAAATCATTTTCAATCAGTTTTGAATAAGTTATTTTTTGTTTATTGTATGGACGTTCGGTAATACTAAAATAAATATGAGTCCTGTGTGTGATAATTTACATTTGTTAAAATGAAAGAAATTAAACATTGAAAACATGACAGTTACTTTCTAGTTTTCAAAAAAGTTTGTGGGCTTGTTTTGTATGATGTGTAGGTAGGTAAATGAAACTAAGTTTTTCAGCTACAACGCGTATTTTTTTAGAACTACCTATACATCCTAAAATAATATTTGTCATTGCGTTATTTTTTGCTAGTACTTAATTTAATATAATTTATGATTAGCATCAGCCTATCAGAGCCCTCTGCTGAGCAAAAGCCTCATCTCAAATGAAGTAGATTTATATAATTAATTATGTTTAATTTTTCATTTATTTAGTTATTCTTTTTATATTATTTTTAATAACTACAATATTATGAGTCTCATCATCATCATCCTATCAGAGCCCACTGCTGAGCAAAGGCCTCTTTCTCACATGGAGCATTTATCACCACGCTTGCTCAAGACGGGTTTGGCGATTTCAAACTTAACAAATAATTGTGCTTAATAAATAACTTAACAAATAATTGTGAAACTATAAGTCCAGATTTCCTCACGATGTTTTCCTTCACCGTATGTCAGTGGTATCTAGATACTCTCAGAAAGTACATATGACTTCAAAAAATCACATTGGTACTTGCCAGATTTGAACCCGCACCCTTGGCAACGAGAGGCGGGCCCTTTAACCACTAGGCCACCACTGACTTATATTATGAGTTTCGGTACAATAATATTTTTTATTCCCAGATATCTGACAATAATGCTTTAAAATTACTTGTGTGGCTACTTGTATTCTAGTAGTTGTAGGTGTGTCGTTTTGTGGTTTGCGTATTTTTCTATGTAATTTTTGGTAAATAGGGTGTTATGATCCTTGCGTTCTTAAGCTTTCTTGTATATTTTTATTCTGTGTACCGTTCATTCTGGTTTTGTTTTAATGTGTCTTCAAATTATTTTGGTTTCCTATTGTTACCTTCGTGTCTAGTGTGTATAATTGGGTTTTATTATTATTATTACCTATATAAATAAGAAGAAGTTTAACAAAGACAAGGCAAAAGACCTATCGTCAAATATTGAGGGTAAGACTTTAAAGATTTATAATACATATTATTCTGATTCTTTTGTTGAGTACTATGAGGATTAATTTTCAATCATATAAACTTTTAAGACATTAAAATGTCTGTTTTCTTACACTATAATATTCAACATGCCAGAGTTAAATTGTATTTTATTTTATACTAAATTATTTCACTTCCTTTCATCATTTTTAATTATGACATTAAACTGTAGTTTTTATATGTAAGAAATAAATGGATTGAAAATGTATTTTGTTATGATTTCCAAACAAATGAAGCAACGGGAAGCTGGTCGTTACAATAAAAATTATAATGACTTCAGTGCAAGGATAGTCGATGTTTAGGATTGCCACAATTTATGGATAATTTGATAATGACCAAATCAAAATCATTTCGTGATGACGGAAATTGCTTCTAACTCGCTATGATTGCAGTGTTTATCACAACCATAATTAGGTGTGTAATCGCCGTTGTACAGCCTTTAACAGAGCTATTCAAATAGATTGAGTAAGCCACGGTAGACAGATATGCGTTTGTCTGTATCTATGTATTAAATGTTTATTAAATCTGTATTTGAATTACATAAACAGCAATTAATTCAGTACAACAGTCTACAACAATTACCTATTGGCTGATATTATAGATTACACAATTGGTAGCACAAAGGTGGTATGTATTTTACATCACCATGCTATTATCAAAAGCGTATTGTAGTTAAATCATAGAAAACGAGTGCTAGTGGAACTAAATATAGCCTTTACAAATGTGTATTCAAAAATATGAACGTCATGTTATTTAGAAATAAAATAATATTAATGGATTTTTGTTCCCATTTATAAAAACGATAATATTCAAAAACCAAAATGGTTGTTGTGGTATAAATGTAATAAAGTTATGTAAGATCTTTTAGTCAGGCTTTATGTACATTTGTTAATCTTTATATTTCTGTTCAGTAAGGCCCTTGTTTGAATAAAGAAACTAATAGAGACACATAACTTGAAAATTGTTACCCTTTTCTGTTTAAATTTCAAAAAGTTTACAGAATTATGACATGTTAATAATTTTAGGTATTATTTTAAATGCCAATACTGTCTGCTCTATTTATTAAAACTTAACGGACATGTTCAAAGATATACTGGGATGTAGTAAATATCATTTTCTTATAAAGAAACGACCTCAGTTAGTTATAGTTACAAATAATTTATAATGACACTAAAACTATCAAAAACTTACACATGTAAAATAAGAAATAGCAATATTATTTATAGGATTATTAAAGATTTAGTTTATGAAAACTTTGTATTTATTTCATATATATAATATCGTTTTGTGCTCATGTTCATATAATTAGTATTCTCACTTGCTCCGTCATCGCTTTGTGATGGTCAGTAATTTTGTATAGTTACATACTTGTACCATCTAACCAGAGAAATGACACGTGAGTTGATATTTAATAATATGTATTAATACAATGATAAAACTGATTTCATATATCATATGAAGTGATATAACATTTTATATAACAAGTACTGGTGTTTTTTTTATAATTTATTTAATTTAAAACCATGTTTATTTAGATTTTAAGCTACGGTAGGAGAACGGTTCTGAATTAATTATCTTTATATTTGGTAACTCTCTCATAACCTAAGTGTTATTATTGCTATTTTTGAGAATTTGTTGCCTTCATTCCTTCCTATTAATGACTAGCGGTTGCCTGCTGCTTCGTCTACATATTAAACTTCGTTTATGATACGCGTGATTTTTATGCGGTTTTATTCGTTTTTTAAAGACCCTTTAGACCGTTCCTATTTTGATAACGATGGAACTAATTTAGCACAATACGCTTTTAATTGAAATGTTACACTATTATTGAAATAAATATTTAGTCGATTCGAGAACTTCCGCCATGTTGAAGTCAGTTCAGAAGTACCCTAAGTTAATCCTTATAAAATTACAAATCTACAAATGATATTTCCGTCAAAAATGGACCAGCCGTTTCAGAAATTAGCCGCTATAAATAAACAGATAAGATGCAGTTTAAATATAGTTTCCTCAATATACTGTCATTAATAAGTTAATTTGATATTACAAACAAACACTGCAATTTCATTTATTCGTGTAGATAATTAAACCATAGATATACAGCATCACATCTAAACTATAAGCACTTTAAATTCTTTCAAATTTTATCTCGAACAATTATATTCATGATGATGTAGAAATAGTCTTTATTACAGTTTTACTTTGACTTTCTAAAAATTAAGTATAAAAAATTTTATAACGTTTATTTGATATTTCAATAAATTTATTTAAATATTAAAATAATCCTATTTAAGCATATTATATATATTTATTCAATAATCATTCAAATTCATTCCAGGGTGGATTATAAAAGTGTTGTACTTCACGGTGGCAATAAATGTCTACACTAGTGGTGTCTCCCGACATCAAGGTAGATTTAGTGTCAGTTCTATATTGGATTCGCTACCTGTTGTGCAACCAATCGTGCAAGCCGGATCCAATAGATGCATGTATATTTTGATTTTATTACCCTTTCATCTGAGATAAAATTTCATTAAGTTTCTTTGTTTAATAGAACATCATTACATTGATGTATATGTATAAATTTATAAAAATATTGTTGTTATATATCAATATATGTCGAATAGGGCAGGATTTAACTTAAAATCTCTAAATATTGGTTTTTATTTAAATTGCTCACTTCAGTACTGTGGTCTTTTTAAAACCTTTTAGATTAATGATGAGGTTATAAGTGAATATTATAGTTAAAAATTAGTCACATATGCCATCGTTATTGTGTTTTTACTCTTGAAACAAACCAAAATAGAAGAAGTTAGTTACTGTTTGCTACTTTATTGTATATTACAGATATGTTCTTGTCTCGGTTTATTATTTTAGTTACAATTAATCTGAATTTATTAAAATGGTTGCAGGTGAAGGCTTAAAAAGCTATTTCGGAATAACATATGAACAATTATTACAAAAGAATACAACCAAATTTGATGATTTAAGCTTAGATCATATAACAAAAAACGGTAAAGTAAAATATAATCTTAATAACACCAATAATTTAAAGAAGATAATGAGAAATACCAGAAATGTCATCATTATTATTCATGGATATATGGAAAGTTCCGACGGTCTAATGGTGAACCGCATGGCTCCAGAATTTTTAAAGAAAAAGTATGTAAGCGTTTTCGCGATGGATGGTAGTAATATTTTTACTTACGAATATTTTCGAACTTCGACATATGCACGCTTCTTGGGTGACAAACTTGGTGATTTATTGAGTCAATTGATTACAAGTAAGTTATTTGTCAAGTGTTTTCCTATTATTTCTTATCAATGTATAATTTAATAATGATTTATTGCAGGTGGAGTTGATCCAGCAAAAATTACTCTTGTTGGACATAGTCTAGGAGCTCATATAGCCGGTGTAGCGGGAAATAAAGTCAAGCAAAATACTAATAAGCTTCTACGTCGAATAACAGGTCTTGATCCAGCGGGGCCTTGTTTTAGTAACGTGCATTTAGATGGTAGACTTGATAAACAAGACGCCGAATACGTTGACGTACTACACACTAACGCTGGTTTATTGGGGTTAAATTTGCCTGTAGGTAACGACGATGATAGAATTTTTTTAAAGTTTTCTTAATATCATAAACAATGACATTTTTATAAGCGAAATGTATATGTATAGATAGTTGTATTGTAAGCAAGATTTGTATATGCATTTCAGGACACAAGGATTTTTATCCGAATAGTGGAATGTACCAGCCCGGTTGCTTTCTGTCTACTTGTGATCATAGCCGAGCTTGGGAATTGTATGCCGAATCGATGAATAATTCCGATATCTTCCCAGGTACGTGCTGTTTTAGAAGTTTTTCCTCTTTATGGAGTTGTTATGCCATTTTCCAGTAATTTTATTAAGTATATTTTGGTATATAGTATGAAGAATAATTTATATTTATATTAGAAATACAAACTAAAATATTAAAATAGAAGTAAGAGAATTTGAACTTTCTTATTCTGCAAAATCTTTAATCACTTTTCGTTTCCTAAATATTGGTCGGAAAAATTATGTTTTTAGCCTTAAAGTGATTTTAACATGCGTTCGTTTTAATATATTTTAGCACGCAAATGCGAAAATTGGACTTCATTTAAAAATGGTATGTGCTCGAAGAATGAGATAGCATATATGGGTGTTAACTCTGAACCTGGCTCTCCAGGTTTGTATTTTTTATCAACTGGGTCCTCGTCTCCTTATGGTTTGGGTGCATCAGGAAGCGGGTGATGAGAAAATGATATATTATAGTTATACATATACGTGATAAGTCTTGAGATGTTTTTCAATGTTGATGTTATTTTTTAGTAAACATTACCGAATTTAGAAGAGTTTTCATTTACTTAAGAATTGATTATTAGATTTTGATATGTTATGTTAACTTAATCAAATAAGCTTAATACTAAACAGTTCTCTGAAGTCAGAACATTTATAAACAGATTTTTAATTACTTGTACAAATATTTTAGAATAGGTATGGATAATAGAAAATATACACGAATTGTCAAGAAAACAATAAAGTTATAAATTTATTTACTTATTGAAATTTTGTACGATTATCTACCCGTACATTGTTTTTACATAAATCTTATAATTACATTAATAGAAAAATTAAATGTTTTATTTATGAGTAATAAGCATTTTAAAATGTTTGATTAAGAATTCAAAGTATTAAAATTTCTTAGTATTTTCTTCCGATAAGTCTCATTCTTGAAATTTTCATTTAAATTGTTATATTCAATACTGGGAATGAAATCCATCGATAACAAGAAATCACCATGATTGAACAAAAAGGAGAATATTTTTCCAGCTTACGTTTCTTTACTGAGGGAATATAATGAAACAAATTCTGGGAAATTCCATTGATAGTAACAGAAAATTTAATTTCATAACAAAACCGTAGCAATGTTTTCAGTTTCTATTTAAAAAGTTCAACAAAAGAGGTAAAATATATTGTTGGTGTTCCTTGGGCTAACGAAATGGAAAAAGTTAATAAGGATAAAAAGTGTGAGAAGCCTTCTAAGATTTGTTACTTTTTGAATACAATACAATACAATATTTATCGTTTATTTCTGTTTACTGATGATTTTGTCTTTAAAAGAAATCTTTCAAATCAGACACTAATTGGACTTATGATAGACAATTACGACAACCTTTTTTATAAAATATTATATATAAATTATTTAGATACATTAAAAATATACATTTAAATATTGCTAAGACAACGAAAGTATGTCCAAAACCAAAGCCTGCAAAATTAATAGTAAAATAAAATATTTAGAATCAGACTTTAAGAGACGAGAATAATATTAGAATGATTTACACATATATATGATTAAAATGTATTTTAATACAGTTTTTCCTCAAATAGATATTTAAATTAATTATTTATCACCAATTTATGACATCATATGTTTTAAATAAAAAGTTAAGAGGAAATTGTCGACCTAAACTAAAAGTGTGATTAATTATTATTTTTCGTTAAATATAATCATATATTACATATGTACATAATTTGTGTATATAATTTAGATGTATGATGGGCAAATATTATCTTTGTGATCAATGTCATGGAGTATTCTCGTCTCGTCAATATTATAGAATATCTGAGATAAAGCACGCTGTTCTTGACATTTAAAAAGAAAGAGTACAAGAAGTTCTATTAGATTTAACACCACATTGCTGTAAAAATGTTTTTGTGGGTATTATTTCTATGAAACGAAGAATTATATCTACGTAATCATACTCAATAATTGAGCTATTGCAATCATTTTGATTTCCTACTGCTCTTGTAATTGTTATAAGCTCATTGGACTAATATTTTGTTTAAACAACTTAAGACCATACATAAAAACCGCACGAGTAGATGAAGTACGAGTATATCTCTCAATTTTTTCACCGACAACACTTCTAAATCAAATCGTCAATTAACTTCAATAAAGTACTGAAAATACGAAAAGTTTTAATTGTTGTATTTTTCTTATTTAAAGGTAAATATTATAAATATTTTATTAAATGGCAACAATTTAACAGAGAGGGCCAACAAAAACCTGTAAATAAAGTTTATACTTTAACCAAAATTTTCAATCTTTAAGGAAAGTACATATTTTTCATTGCGTTAAAATCATTTTGTATGAAGGTTCTGAAGAAACATGTAAATAAACATACTCTATTTATTATTATTGTAATAAAACTTCTATGCGTTATATGAAAAAAATACTTTCAGGTAACTTACAAGCAGATAGATCATTTATATATACCATAAAAAGTACAGCTTAATTAAAATAGGGCCATACTTTATTCCTCTGGTAATATATTCTTTCAAAGATCATGATTATGAACGCTAGAATATAAGATGTTAGAACAAGAATTAGCAGTGCTGTTGTATGTTCAAATTGGTTCTTATAATGGTTGACAGAAGTTTTGCATTTAACTGGTAAGTGTTTATCCAGGGAGATTTGACGCCTGATCAGGCCAGCTTCCTTTAATCTTAGAGTCCTGGAAAATGCTTTTCATGAAAATAGGGAACAATAATACTAAAAGGCATATAACACAAGTAAATGGCGTACAGTTTTGCTTTGTTTAACGGCTATCTACATAGGTACAGGCATAATAATTATTATCAATTTAAATGATTTCAATTCCAAATTTGACTTTTACGATTAGATAAGGTTTTTATTCTGACTAAATTCTTAAGAGAGTAAGATATACATATTTTTGAAGATTTTTAAATAACTATCCCCATTTTATAATCAAATATAGAACCAGAAAGACATAGAATCTGAGGTTCAATATAATTGAAATAATTTTAAATAAGCATCATAAGAAACTCATTGAAATATAAGTCAGAAACGTAAGTATAACTAAAAATATAATTCAGATCCAAATTTACCCGATTTTAAATTGTTCTTTGTATGAAAAATTCTTCGATGTAAACAAATATTTCTTAACGTTTGAGTAGAGATCGATTTCAACTAAGTTACAAATATCATCCATTTCGTAACCTGTCAACAAAGATTCAGTTATTTTATTTTTGTTACAGTATAATAATCTGTGAAACGAAAAGGGACGTATAAAATTGAAATTATGTATTGTTAGATATTACAATGTATATAAATTTAATAAAATTGTATAATTCTAAAAAGAAATTAATTTAATATGAATAAGTTTTAGAATGATTAAAGTTGGTTGTAAAATATATATATTCGTTTATATTTGCGTTATTCTATTAAACTGTTTAAATTATTTGATGTACTTCTCTTTACTATAGGATACAAAGTGATGTAGTCAGTCAAGACAGCTGCTCTGACATTCATCATTGAAGTTAGAGCCGATGATAAGCTCACAACTTGAAGGTTTTGCAGTTTACTCCATACAATACTTAGGTTTTTATCCATAATCGATTCGTATTTCTGTAAAAAAATAATTGCAATAACTTCACGATATACATATGTACTTAGCCTAAAGTAATTTAAACATTGCTTTGATTTTGTTGGCTAATTTTTATTAAACCATAAATAATATTGGAAGTATTTTGATTCAAATAATACTTGTGTTGTAAAAATAAATCTATTTCATTGTTGTAATAGAAATAACACATTAATATAATTATAGCTAACCTTTTTATCAGTGATGAGATTCAGATCCTTATATGTTTCAAATGCGTAGTCACTTTTAGCGAGTGATTCTAGACTTAATGTTGTTTCAGTTTCAGTTACAAGATGTGACAGTAAGTTGGATGCGTAATAGGTATGAACGATGTATACACCTATTATAAATGTCAAATATGCGATGCGACGTGAAACTGACACAACTCGCATGGGAAGAACTAAAATAGTAAGAAATCAACAGAACATTGGCAAAATATTCCAAAAATCTAGTGTGAATGAAGCCTTTACATAAAAAATCTTAAGAAAACACAGAGTTTCGAATTTCAAGTCAGATTTTTTTTGATAATGATGTGAAGTTATATAAAATCTTTTAAATATTAATTTAACTGTCACAAAAACACACTCTTCCAAAAGACTTTGGTAACCTTAGCCATAGCTCTAAGAAAATTTTGGATTGAATTGTTGAATTAACACATACATGTTTAAATCAGACTTCAAAATGTGTAGCGATCTTTTCTTGATTCTTAAAAATTTACTATTAATAATAATCTTTCATACCAGCTACTTACTTTGCTGACAGCAAGCAGAAAATGCAAATAAGAGCTCGTGAAAGAAACTGCTCTCCCCTCCAAATTGTATAGAATCCCAATAACTGAGAAGGTAGAATTCAAGTGAGCCAATAAAAACTATGACGAATAAACAGATCCATACTACATTTGAGAATGGCTCGCTATAGAAGGTTCGCAGATAGGCGTTATATCTTTGACGGAGTAAAAAACCAAACCTGAAAAATATTCAATAGCATTTGTGATTGTCAAAATTTCAATAAAGTATCCCTACAATGAGATCTAAGGTTGAGGCAAACAATCATTTAAATGAAACTAATATTTTTCGTGATCTCGGTTACTTTTCATCTCGTCTGCCAATCATGTTGCAGAAAAGTTACCGAAACGTCAGGAGTATGTAGTTTTTTACAATAATAACTACGCGAGTATAGTCACGAAAAAGTTTAGTTTCATTGAAAAGTACTGAAAATAATATTTTATTCCATTTTACTCGCATATTTAGATTATAATTTTTACGACATACACTTTTAAAACATATGAATTTCTTTTATAACAACACGGGTTCTGGTTTGTATTAAATAAAACAAAATCTTGCGAGGCTTCAGCACGTGAGGGGTTGATGTTGACATCGTCACGTGCGATGTGACGAAGCTAAAAATAGTCTTTATGGATTCGTTTTGTTTGTACGATTTCATTGTGAAAGTAACAAAAAGCGAGTTTTACAAATGGACTTTAACTTACTTATTTCTTTTCAGTACATTCACTGGTTTCTATACTAAATATATTAATTGGAAAACCGACAAACATTGTAAAGTTTTAGGTAGGGGTCTTTACAAACTCTTTTCTTTAATTTAAAATACATATTCAACTTTTGTTTGATATTTCGGATTTGTTTAAAAAACTATAAAGATTCTGTTACATGGATTTATTCCTTTTGATTAAAGATGGAAGCTTAAATTATGGTATTAAAATTGATAACATTGTGATTGTAAGTTACATTTTCACATCGAATAATTCAGCATAAATACAACCTGGGTAATACTTGTAACGTTTGTTTCATTTTCATAAGTAGAGATATTTTTTCAATAATATAGAAAAGGTGCTTTGGTCTCCATTCTACAACAACACAAAAGGCATGCAAAGAATAATTTATTCCATACTACAAAATATTCAACAAAAATTACATTACCGCCACATAAATATGCATTGTATTGGATAAATAACACCCAGGTCTTCCTTTCGTAATTCCATGGGTTGAACATAAATATCTACGGAGTTATTAAACTCGTTTCCCTTTTCCGAGATCGCATCTTGATAGATAATGCTTAGAAAAAATTTATTAAAACCATTAAATAATAGTATAATTTTTTTGTTTTCACATTACCTTACAAACGACTTTATCTTGTTATTATAATCGTTATGCAATGTAAAGGAATTAATTTACTTAGTGTAAATTTATTTATTGAGATGTTCTTTAATCATAAGAATTGAATAATAATCATTATAATATATTTCATATGACTTACTTAAATTTATGCATATCCCGAAGCAAAAGCAGAACATAGCACCCAACGACCGTTTTTCTCCAATTTGGATCGTGTTCAAAAATATCCTTGAATTCGATAACATATTCACATGTATGGTTTGACTGTACTGTAAACGTTTCGTTTATGAAATTACTTATCATTATAAGTTAACTTTAAAATTTTAAGGGATAGTATTATCAAAGTTTTTTATGTAAATCCGATATGAGTGTTGTATCAGATCAGAATGCTGTGTCGGTGTATGGTTTGCCTAACGTATCAACCTCATTAATAGGCCGAAACATTTGTTTGTTATAGATTTTAATGATAAAAAAACAGCTCAGAAAGTCAACAAATTTTTGATGTTACTTATATATGCCACGTAATGTAGGAAGTTTTGAACATAATAATTTTCATATTTAAATATATTATGAGAATATGACTAATGGAATACAAATTAATTAAGAAAATGAATATTTTTTTGAAAAAAACTAACGTTTTCGGAGGTACTATAACTTTTCTTTATAATATTTTAACTACATGCTTCCAACGTTTCGGTTATTTTACAAAAACTGTGATCGGCGAGATGAAAAAACACAAATTTCGGTATTTTTTTGTCCATTATCCAATAATATAATATAATAATTTCGAACGTCTTAGATCTCAAGATTTTTTTTAAATATTAAATCAATTAGATTTTGATTCAAATCTCGAAATTCGAGATGATTTGAGATTATGATGTCACGAAATTTAACTACATGTATAAACTATGTCAATTATTTATCGTAGTACGTCTTTGATATATATATGTATAATCAGCATATCAGGAGCTACGCTTAAGGCTATCAACCTTCAAATAATAATTTGACATTTGATGTGCTCGCGTGTCGTGGCATCTTTAATCCACATGCAATCTATGAATAATGAAACATTTCAACATTATTACATATAAATAATAAGTTCAAAGTAAAATTTTTAAACACAACAATAACATAGTCGGAGGGTAAAATAAACATTTATATACTGTTATCATTAACAATGTATAATAATATTGTGCAAGGAGAAAAATAATATTCAACATTACATTCATTAGAATAATTAGCGTAGATTTTGTTAGAATAGAATAACATCATTAACATTTGAGCTTTGCAAAACAAATATTCCTTAAATCCACATTTAATTACTCAGCAATTATATTTACCCTTTTTGTATTGTTTGTGGAGCTAAACTGTGCGAATGTGAATTATATTGCTGACGGCGGATTTACTTATAAATAAAGGCTCCGGATAGTTGTGAGATGTTATAAATATAAATATGAAAAGATATACCAATTGAATAATAATATATCTATTATATATTTGAATAAACGTACGTTTGATTAACAAACGATGTCAGTAAATAAGTTTTTACACTTTTTTATGCATAAATATTAAGTTATTTTTGCATCATTTTTAATACTTTAAAAAAATTTCCACGTCCTTAACAACAACAAAATACAAACATTGTACTTATAAGAAAATTATCAAAAAAAATAATTCAAAGGACCATTAAAATTAAATCTAATGATAATTTCATGAAGTTAGTAATTAACTTCTCTAAGCACTTATAAAATAGTGAATAAATTTAATAAGAATTTTAAGATCTGTAAGACAAAGACATTAAATGAGTTTGTTTAGTCTTATTTAAGGTTTGTCTGAAACCTAAATAGTTTATAATGTCAATAAAAGTAATGAGATCTAGTTGGTTGAATGTTGTATAAAATTTTAGACATTCAATTATATTGAAACGTTATTTAGAGACATGTTGAAAAGAATCACTCCAAAGAACTTTCTTTGCCGCTATCCACTGAGTTCAGGCGCTATATATAGTGCCATAGTTCTTATAGTAAGTAATGTGTTACTAAATAAAATATAATAGGTTATTGAACCCTGTGACATATGTATATGGCAATATAAAATTCTTTAAGTTTCGATTATATATTAATAATACATTTCTTCGCTTTCATGTAATTTTTGATAAGATATTTATTTTCATGACGCTTTGATATTTTCTGTAATCAGCTTCTAATATAATTTATAATAAAATAATAATCTATTCTTCATTTACAGTGCGTCTCAGTAATATGTATCTTAGCGCTGATCACACAAGTGATATTGATGAATAATGACAATTGCTCGTCACGGTTTGTATGGAGGAATGCGTACAGCTTCAGTATTACTGGCGTCATTTACACCGTAGTGATGCTCGTCATGCATATTTGGCTAATTTGGGGCGTAAAAGAGGTAACGAATATAAATATTGGTTAACTATTATGGAATTTACTTTATATTTTTTCGTTCATCCGATCTATAAAGACAGAATTACAATAGTCTAAAAAAATAATTGATGTGTCCATTACCATAGAACCTGAAAAAAAATCTTGATGATGAGCTCTTCAAATCTTAGCATAAACTTTCATAAGAGTCGATTTAGTTTTTTCTTCAGATAACAGAAAACTTGTCTTTACTAAGGTTTCTAAAGATCTGAAGTAACTTTTATTTTTAACTGCAAAAACAATTACATATGTATGATACAGCTAAGACCAAAACAAAGTTTTTAAGTATCATTTCAGTAATAAATATTATTTTTAATTACATAACATACAAAATCAAAATAAAATATGTTCATTTTATTGGAATAATAAATTGTATAATATGATTTATTTTCAGAAAAAGGCATCTGTTTTATTATCCTGGTTCGTCATAACAGCTATGTGGCTCTCACAAACATTCTTTCTGCTTATAATATTAATATGTATTTATAGTACCGATGTTAATTTTATTGCATGGATTCTTTCATTTATATTGGGTTTAATAGCAATAGGTAAGTACTAAGTATTCTGTGATTATTATTTCAACTAAATTAAGATGGATTTAATGAACTATTTTCATTATCTAGTAACATAAACGATCTCTGTAGATATAGTGAGGATATTTTTGATATAATTTTTATTTTCTGATTATATGTATTTACCATACCAAAGTAACAAACTGGTTTTGAAGACGGGAATGTAATATAATGTTATATATGAATTATATGCCTATGATTTAATCTCAACAAGAAAAAGTCTATATATGCTACTTAAGAACGAAAATAAAAAAATTCAAGCTTATCAAAAAAAAACTTATCATTCAGATTTACATGATAAGTCACTTCTTAATGTACAAATAAGATAGTCATTTCACCTAAAAATACAGTATAAAGATTCAAATAAACTATGGGATGGATAAAGAGATAAATCCAATTAACAAAATCTGTTCTAAAAATGGAATAAAGAAAAAATCTTCAAAATTAAACAACAGAAAATATAATTAATATTTTCGGATGTACTCCGAGATTTTATTATGGTAAACTACATACACTCGACGTTTCGATTTACTTTGCAGCAACCGTGATCACGGGCACACGAGACGGAATTTTCGTTTCCAACATCCGAAAATATTAGTTTTATTTAAATGAATACTCGTGAAAGTCTTAGATATCATTAAACAACAGAATATTTAGAAGATTTTAGATTTGTTTCAAAGTTTATTATCTTAGATCACTGATGTGCTCATGGTCTTTTAATGACAGGAAAATAGTGACCAATACATTGTTTACAAGAAGTACAAAATAGCATACTGAATCGAGTTTCATTTTTTTAATTTTCTTTCAGGTATATTGACATATTTTGTGTTGGTGGTTTATGGGTTTTGGCTGGAGCTGAAAACTCAGGAAAGGAATCGTAATTTATCAGCTCAGAACAATGATCTGTAATATGTACAATAGAAAAAATATTTCATTAAAATAATATATATGACAAAGATATTTTTCGTTTTACTGCGGTCAATAATGTATTTATTTAAGTATATGACAAAGCAGCATCCCTAGGAAAAAATACGTGTACATACATATATAGTTTTCTTTTCGCTTCATTAAATTCTTTAAATACATATTTTATGCATATTTATAAAAACCGTTTCTTCAGCGAGTTCCGAAGATTAGCGTGAAGATTAAAAATTTCTTTAACACATTATTAAGAATTCACAAAATTTTATGAAAATATTTTATGACATAAAATACGAAGACATTTAGGAAGGAAAATAAATTAATTTTTTAATTTTTATGAGATGATGATACGAGTATGCTAGGTTTTTTTTATTGTGTACACTGTAAATATTGAGTAATCTATCTAAGAGTATAGAATAAAGCAAATAATAATAATAATAGTACATTTATTACAGTAATCTATTAACAATTTCGATATTAATTTCGGAAGCCTATCTTCTCTGTGAAGCTGGTAAGGCTTCCCCAGCCTGGACCGAGCAATTGTTTCCGATGACTGTTAACCACCAAGATAAAATAGATGGTCACTGTAATATTAAAAGATTAATTATAAACTGTCATGAATCATTACGAACAACTAAATAGTTCAATTTATATTTATGAAACATAAAAATTTTAAGTTAATGTTTGATAAAAGCTGTTTAAGTTAAAAAAAAAAGTATGCACTATTCACTTATTCACTAAGCCACAAATCCAAAGTATAAGTTGGTGTGCTATTTCATCTCGGTCTTAAAATAAAAACTAATACAAATAAAATTAAATGGAACTTTTATACAAATTAATTCACAATTCATACACAATCGAGTAATATATTACGAGGTAAAATAATAATGTTTAAAACACTATTAGAGGAACTCAACGATGGCTATACATATATTATAACTCAATTCTTTTTTCATGGAATTGTAAATTGAATTTACTTTCAAAAATTCCAGTCAAAACAAATGGAAGCGGATTATTTTGAAGCGACTATTGGTAAAAATGCTTTTGTGTATTTTTTTATTTATGTGCCTTCAATATTGGAACAAAACCAGATCTATGAAGTTTACGATATCGCTTCCAGCTTTGTTTACAGGCTTCAGCATATTGAAGGGAATTTAAAATTTTCTTGATTTTGAATATTGAATTAGTAGGGTTTTATCATAGACTAAATTTTGCCGAGGGATTTGCTCACGAAAATGAAAATTATTTATAATATCAGTGTATGTATGCTACTGAAGGCTTAGAGTCTATTTTTGACTGTTTTATTCAGTTTACATATGTACCTAAGGTTTTTTGAGGATTTTTTGGTAACATTTTGATAATTTCAACATAACCTAGACAAACGATAAAAAATAATAAAACATATTTTTTTTTAAACCATACACAGAATTGTTTTATAAATGTATAAGTATGTTTAAAATATCGATGGTTCTTCATAGAATTCAATTCTAGGGATTCTTTTTAATTAACAAATTCCTTGTACTAAAATTTGATATTATAAAATATATGTATGTATGTATAAAGAGTACTTACAAATATACCAGAGCATGCCAAGTAAGACGATGATCACTCTGCTCCTCTGTTTTCTGGAGGTGAAGACGATGGCCAGAAGCATCATCATCATCAACATCACAGCTACAAAAATCACCGAGTACCAAATCCAAATAAGACATAAAGAAGGCGAATCCTGCAAAATACTTCCATACACTGTACCAAATACTTAAAAAAATCGATAATCACTAACATTAATGTCAATATTGAAACCTTTGCGAGCCCAAAAAATAGCACAACACTAGCCGCAAAATATAAGGCTACTAAAATCCATATTGTGACTAAAAGGTAACTCAATGGTATAAAAAAAGAGCAGCCGTAAGCCATTGGATGGACCTGAAAGAAAAATGATTTTTAATGGAGTGTAAAACTTCAGGAAAGGAATTTTAATCGTGAATTTATTTGCACTTTAACCTTCTTACGACTTTCCTAGAAAATTAAATTTAAGATTAATTTCGTATAAGATATTAACTGTGTCTATAACTTAAGCGATTTCTTTGATTATGCAGACGAAGTTGGGTACAAATAATAATAATATACTACTTTCTTCACTCGTTTAATTTTAAATAGAATTTTAACATATTTTATTTGGGAATACGAAATATAATCTATATGCCATCAGATGTGATGTTACGTAGTTATGAAAATTAATTAACATTTTTGATAATTCTGTTAAACACTCTAAATACTGTACTATAGTATATTGTTCCCGACTGTAGATTGGAGTAGACTATTTCAATGAAAGCAAGAAGTTTTAATGACTTTTAATGGTTTCTAAAATTTTGTTGTAAAATATTGTCCAACACTTTTTTTTTGAGTTATCGATTTGCTTTCCATATGAAATATTTTTTTTTATACAATATGATTACATATTAAGTATGTGTCAATATTTTATTACTAAAGTTACATTTATGAACAATACCTACATTTAGTATGAGGTGAACCATGAAAAAATAAATATTTTACGAAAGACATTACGTGAGCAAAGTTAATAAGTGTGTACTTTTCAACACATGTACCAGAAATGTTTTTTATTTAAAATATAAAATGTGTAATAAGAAAACAAGATTTATTTCCTTATTCACTCTCTCTATTCTGCGTTCTAAAATATTTAAATCTGTTAAATATCTTATGTAAAAAAAGTGTGATCCTACATTTTGTTTATAATATTGTACTTAGTATGGACATGCACACAAATACGATTATATTTATTTAAATATAGAGAGGAGCTTGGACAGAGGAGGAGCGTTTAACGCGATTGAGATATGGGCCCCTTAAACCCACACCTGAGTCGTAAGTTCCAGGCACTGTTGAAGCTCCTCTCCCTGCAATGCGATGAACTCCGCACCCGCACGGTGAATACATGGAATGTTTCGTCTCTAATCTAAGGAATTTCTGGTTCTATTTGTGATTTACTTCATATACGCATATATTCCTGCTGACAACCAGTAATACATATATTTTGTCAAAAACATGTGAACAATATTCACATTATGTCATAAATCAATGAGTTTATCTACGGAATTAAATTTTTAAGTAATCTGATTTTTTATACTGCTCGCTATAATAAAGACTAAATGTATTCTTTTCATAAAGCAAAACTGATTTTAAGAGATATAGATGAAATTATTAATTTAGCACTTAAATATAGTATAAGCCTTAGTAATTTATGATCAGATAAAAAAGATTATTACCACACCAAGAGCTGCTATTATCATTGAACCTGTCTTAAGATCGATTCCGAAGAAAGAGGTGACATCAGGCAAGTCATCTAAAGCAGTCATGTTATAATTGTTTTAGAAATTGAAGTGTATAAATAAACTTAATGTTGTAGCACTTCGGATTTATTTACTATCGATTTGACAATATGAATATTTGTGACAGATTTATAGTAAGAGTGAGACAGATTACAAATTCTCTGAGTTTAACATAAGTCTTGCCTCTAAGTCATACTTTTTAGTAAATCTTGACAGAATTGAAATGATTATTTTTAATCTTTACGAAAAGTATGTAAAATTTCTATTATTTCTGTATAAGATATACGAGTATGTATTAATTTATATACATATAATTGTCTTAACTTAATAAAAAGTACGACTTTTTTGTGTTTATTTCAATTCCTCATCATTGGAATTAACTCTAACAAATTAGAAAGCATTATCCTTCTTTTAAATAATATATAAGGCATTAATTAGTGATAGCTTAATAAAATGTAAATTAATTTAACAGAACTGTTCGCTGTTGCTTGAAATAAAGGGTTGCTATTTTATAATTTTATAACTCCAATACCTATTGTTTATTAACATGGAGCTAATTAATTTGTAATGTAAAATTTCCTTTATAAAAACATTTACATTTTATAATAGGAGCTTTAAAGTATTTGTTGTTATGAAATCATAATAAAATTAAGCATTAGAAAAAGATTAAGGTGAACGTAAGAATGTATGGAGTTAAAAATTCTTCAAATATTAGGTCCTTACATATGAAAATGGCGTTTTGTAGTACTGGCTATGATCTTAAATCTCTCCTCTTTGGTACGGAATTCCAATTTCAAATTTATACAGCTATTTACTCGTGTACTTGTTTTTCCATTTATTTTTTTCTTTGCGTCACTGAGCTGAAAAAATGGAAAACTTAAAATATATCGTTATTAACGTGAACGAATAAAGAACGAGAAGGAATTAAGTGCCAATTTCAAAGAGAAACTTTTCGGAATGTACTAGCTATATTCAATACTGAATAATAAATATTTATCTATACAAAATGATTTTACAAGAATATTTTAAATGAATCCTTGTCATACATGGCCGTATAACATAAGAATGACTTAGACTTTGAAACATCCAGTGTAACATTTACATTTGAAGTAAGTGAACCCAGAAAAGCGTAGTTAAAGCTTCACGCTTTGATGAAAAGTACTTTGAAGATCCAAGATTCCTAAATAAGGTTTTAAAAAAGACACGAAGTTCATTCTGGTTATGTATGTAAATATGTAGTTTCACTACTTTAGTCATTATACTCAATTCCCGTTACTTTTCAGTTCAAATAAATTAATTTGTTATCAAAATATACCAATATCGAATTTATAAACAACATATTTCTTTTTATATTTCTGCATAAACATAGTGTATAAAATATATTTTTTAAAAACATAATTTTTATACCACTTTTCAAAGATTTTCTCCCGAATCCTAAAGAAAAATTATGTCAATAATATACTCACATATTCCTTGACACCAAAGACTAATGAATCAAAACAAAATTTCTATGATTTATACAGAATAATTAATCGATAAGTGTAAATACGTCAATTTATATTAAAATTTTATGAACAAAGAATAACATTATAATTATTTTGGGAGTCTTTCTCATGCTTTAAGACCAAGTGCTATTTCATATCGCTTGAACATATACAATGAGTATTATTCTTTAAAATGAATAAAATCCTATAGAGATTATAATTTGAAAGGAAAAAAAATGAAATGTGAAATGTATTCGAAAAACGTTTTACGTAACAATAAGCTGCTTTCCATGCGTCGCCGTCCTTGTTAACAGCAAACGAGGAGCAAAAATGTGAATCTCACAGCCAGTTAAATCTGGTATAATCCAATTAAAACCACCTAACAATGATTTTCATAGAGGTCATAACGAGCATTGAAAGCTCTTGTAACTAGATTATTAAAACATTTTTAACTCACAGTCAACATGTTCAATAGTTGTCACGTGTTTCAGGATTTCAGAACCAATTTTATACGTTCGTCAATATTTCAGCTTTAAACTTATGAGGAAGATGATGCTTGACACTCGAATTTATGTGTTTTATACAGAATTTACTTCTGCTCTCTTGTCTCAATCCAAGAGTTATATTTTTTTATAAGACACTTACAGTTTCTAGACGCTGATAACAAAATTGGAACTTATAATGTACTGTTACAATATGTTGTTATAATATATAAATTTTATGAAATTGTAATAATAATTTATTAATGACTACCGACAATTTCCAACTTTGTCGTACTGCTTATTTTTAACTGTATTGCGACGTACCAATAGGTATAAGATAGGGAAAAAGAAATGGCTCTATGGGAAGATGCTCCCATTTTTGCAACTAGCCGCTAGTTTCAAACGAGTTTAGACACTTGTAGAATAGATAGATGTAAAATACAAGTCAATAAGTCATGGAGCGATACGATTCCCAAGAACGCGGGATAATTGTATCTATTTTTTTACACAACAATTCGTCTCTGGTGTTGGCCCAGCGCGAATTCCGTCCCCAATTCCCATCCGTGCAAATACTGCAAAAAAAAAAATTAAAATATTATGCTATACAGGACAATGTTTTAAAAATTAACTAACACAATTTTCTTATTTAGTACCTAAATGTAATTATTAGTAAGCTTCGTAACGTGTTATATAACAGATTTTTTATACTAAATTTTTATATAATGCAATAATGCAACGATATAGATAGAAAACACTTAGGTATATGTATATAATTTTCAATCCTGATTGTTTTACACCATAATTTTTATTTTGTCTTTTTCATTCAGACGGACATGAATATATATAGGCAAAACTTTTTTTACCTATCAGTTTAAGAGACTAGTACTAATTCTAGTAAATCAACCGAAAATATTAATAAATGTAATTTTTAATAACATAAAAGATGCAAACTTACATCGGAATAGTTTGAAGATAGTTCAAATTAAAGTATTAAGAGATGTAAGGAATTACTGAATATTAAAGAAGCTAACTCCGGTTTCTCTTGATAGAAAACTTAAATTGACTTTATACCAGTTCCCAGGATTCGTGCCCAGGTAGAATATAAAAAAATAAGTTTTTCAATTTATTAGAGAAGAGCTAAGCCTAAGTGAATACAAAGAGTGCAATAAAAAATGTATACGACGTACATTTGAACATACAATTTCGTACTGCGTTGTATTTGCTAGTAAGTAATTTACTCGACTGTTGAAGGTTTAAGAGGTTTTGTCTTAAGAAAATACGTCGGTCCAATAAATATTTTTTAAATAATTTCATGTTACATTAAACACAGGAAAGGATTCGTGAATGAACAGAGTATACAGACAATTTAATTATTTCTGTTTGAGAAAGAGGCATTCAAACCAATTAATGGAAGTGTGATATAAAAGTGTGATCTAAGTTACTTGCTAAAGAAGGCCACCAATGCATCCACCACATTTCTTATGTTGCAGATATCCATGAGCGACGTTGACTACTTCTCATCAAGTAGGCCGTCTGCTCGATTGCTTCTTTTTTTATAAAAGAGTTGTTGCTATAATTTTCATTTCAGTAGTGTGTATTTTTTCTATTTTGCAGGAACAACCAAGGCAAATTATGCAAAGTTAGGGTCCTGGTTTTAACGACTTAAAAATAAAATAAAATACGTATTTTTAATTTTCTACATTCCGATTCTATGTAAGACTAAATTTATATCCGATTAAAATACGAAATTATTTAACATTGTAAAATAAAACAATTTGAAGTGAATTAATAAACTAAAAAAATACAAAACAGTGCTAAAACGATACCGAGCCAATGCGTTGGAAGAACTTCATTTTGACTTTAGAAAATGAGCTTTACATTTCAGATTTAACTCATGAGTAAAGTTTTTCAGACTGAAGCTGATTTTTTAGAGTGTTGAAAACTTGAAATAAAATAATTATTATCTGAGCCATTTTTTATAATTGTATAAGCCTCGCTCATAGATCTCGTTTCAGATTAAATATGTGAAGAAAAAACTGTCAATATATATAACACAAAATAAATAATTGCTTGTAATAAAGATATGTAAAATGCAAATAATTTTGAGTTGTGCGTATATACCTTTGCTATTTAAATTAACCAGCAACTTGATAATTATTTCCTATGATTGCAATGGTTAAGTATTTGCCTCTTGTAATATTTCTATCGTTTGGTATAAAATTTATTGAAACTATTATGTATTTAGTCACAAAAAATACATATAACATTTGTTTTATGGAGATGTCTTAGGTGTGGTGAGAGTAAACACTTCGACCTTATTTTCTAAGCATGATCATAAAAGGTAAGGATATAAAGGTAAAGATGTTTTATTTTAAAGAAAATAGGAGAGATAACATGAAAACTCATTTCTAATTTCCATAACACTGATTAGTAGAAGTGTTTATTTAAAAAATTCATATCTATAATTATGTTTTATATATCTGGCTTGTTTTCTTGATTAACTTCTATTCTAGAAATATAAATATATTTAGGAAACACGCATTTGACTCAAACTGAACCTTGAAAACTCCGGAACGCACAAGAAATGATATTGAAGCAATGACATTTGCTATGTTCACTATTGCGGGGGAAAGTATTGATGGACGCAACTTGTGGGTGTCTTTGTACATTTAAGTTGTTTTAGTTTTAAATAGTGATTGGTTAACACTAGACACAAGTTTGTTGATGTTAAAGTTTGATTTGATATTTAATAGTTGTAGGTTTTTAAGACAACTATTTTCTTTAATTATTTTGTCGGAATCCTAAAGAAAATATTTTATTTAATTGTATGGACATCTAACAAACAAGAGAGAGACAAATGATTATAAAATATATTAGGTATATAACATACTAGATTATTTTATATTTTATTGTAGTTTTGAAGAATTAATTTAGAAATTTCTTTGACTTATATATCTATATTTTTCTAGATTGATTTCATAGTATTTGATAATAATGAAATAATTTCATAGTATTTGATAATAATAATTTTTGAGATTTATAAAGTTATTTTTTATTGCCA